TTGTAATATTTACAATATTCTGTCCTGTGAAATTACAGGAAATTCCTGGCTACTGAGTTGCCGTAAATATAAAATTTTGCTGTAATATTTACAGTATTATATCCTGTGAAATTACAGAAAATCCCTAAAATTACAGGAAATTCCTGGCTACTGAGTTGCCGTAAATATAAAATTTTGCTGTAATATTTACAGTATTATATCCTGTGAAATTACAGGAAGTACAGTACCTTGTTGTAGTTATTTTACAATAACAGTCCTGTATACTGTTTACAGTAAATTTACGGCAACTATTAGCCAGGAATTTCCTGTAAAATTACAAGAAATTTCTAACAGTGTACAAACATAGGGACGGATGGAGAATTGTGGCTTGTGAGTTGCAGGAAAGGCGTGGCCGGACGATTCCAACTGTACTCCACATTCATCCAAAAGAGAGAGAAATTAATTAAGTGCCAACCAAAGGAGAACCTGAGACAGCAGTGGGCAGTTCTCTGATCTCTGTTCAATCCAGTGGTCTCACTGGGGCCGGGGACCAAGACCGTACACTCTCCATAGTTCCAGTTCATAAGGTGCTCTTTACCTATGCCTTCCAACGAAGGTTGAGGTCGAGGGCAACTGGACTTCTTCTGAAACGTCCAGATGCTCCAGATTCTACTTTTCTTGGATAACCATGACCTGGATGAATCTTTACAGATGTGTAGGTTTGTCTAACGCTCTCTCTCTCACAGGGGGTTCAGAGGAGCCTGAAGATGATCTGCAGTCATGTCTGTCTTTACCTCACATATTTTTGTTGTTAGCCTCTTTAGTGGTTGTAAGGTTGTTCCTGTTGACCTGAGTCAACCATTTTTTCCTCCTCCTCCGTGTCAGCTGGGAAACGAAACATCCGTTCTCCTTTTTCTGACCGACTGCAGCAGCATCTCCACACAGCACAATAAACCTGCTGTGGACTATTGTAAGACAGTTCACAGACACAAACCACTTAACATGCTGTTTTCTGAGTTTACTGGAGATTTATAAATGAATACATGACGATCATTGATAGTCACCTGTCTGTTCTATCTGAAGTCATAAAGATTACATTAGTCTTTAAGATCAATTAACCCTGGTACCGTGGGATCACTAAAAGGAATGTTAGAAAGGTAAATCTGATCTGAATTTTAAACGTGTTTTCAAGAGGAACACTTTCCAATGTAAGGTTGGCCAAAAAATCTCCACAAGGTGACTGTAGCTGTTATTGTCAAAAATATATGTCCTCCTTTTTAAAAAATAGAAATGTAACTACATACATGTGTCACCGTGCTGTGCAAATATTGTAAATCAACGCATTTATTCTATAAATGACCAGAAATCACTTAAAATCGCCGTTTTGTTGTTTCTCTCGCTCATTTTGAATTGCCCGCCCAGGACCTCCGGAAACTACTGTATCTGCGGTCTCCATGAACCACGTGACGATGTAGCATTTTGGACCCCCGCTGACGCGACTCTCTCTTTAAAGGGCTCTGGAGCAGCCTACACAATAAAAAGGCAATGTCGCTACAGACCGAGTGAATAATGGTAGGCCTACAGATATTCATAGTAATGTCTATGATAATAATCGTAATGATAATAATAACAACAGGACTAGTAACAATAAGTGTAGCAGAGGGTGACCCGCAACCACAGATCCAGACTCCACAGCTCCAGAGCCTGAAACACCTGCAGGAAGTGATAGGAGGAGAGAGGAGAGGGACGAGAAAGCACAAGACTACCAGAAAGGGAAGAAGTCCAGTTAGTAAGAGTCTTAAAGAAATAGCTTAATCGAAATCTGACCAAAATAATTTGAATAATGAAGATTCATTGTTGCAAAAAACACACTTTTCCTCAACATTAATCCTGAATCTTAATACAATTGTTATGTATTAGATATACATATTAAAGCAGTGAGTGCAGCGGTAAAGTCAGATCCTCTTTACGCTGGGGGGAAAAGGGTAGTTCGTCCGAAAGTTGGCCGCTGTATTTAAACCCCATGCAGGTTAGGGAGCTCGATTTAGGTGTGAAGGTGACTCCGACCAGAGAAAACAAAGGTTTTAAAGAGCATTGCAGGGCAGGTTCATGAGGTGTGTAACAATTTGATTTAAAGGTATATAGTCAATTGATTCTGTGTTTAAATGGTAGACTATGTTTTCTTGTCATTTAATTCAATTTGTGTAAATTACTTGAATTTAAACTGGAGGATTGGTGTATTTTGTGTAGGTTTCTCTTATAAATAGGTTATTTTGACAGTGATAATGAGGTGCTGCTAGTATTGCTGTTGTATACAGAAAGGAAATGCAACGCTTATATCAGTGAATGTGTTTATTTTTATACATATTGTAGAATAATGTTTATAGTTTATTTTATTATCTCTACTGAAATGTCACAGGACATTTAAACTGACTGTAACAGATGTTGGTGAACTTGTGTTCGTGTAGGTGGTTCTGCAGAAATACAACAAATATAAATAATAAGGTTTAAGTCACATGCATAACAGAATATTCCCCATCCTGTACATGTTTTTTTCCTCAGGTTAAGAGTATTCATAACAGAACAAAGTAAGTACTTTAGTAATTGACTACTCAAAGGTTATAACTAGAAGCCACCATAGTAAAAAAAACACCAATAATATTTAAGAACACTAGTCATCCATAAGCAGTAAGGTATGACCGCTTATACAGACAGAGAATCCGTTCACATCAGGAAACATAATCAAAGTCCACCACCTAGTGGTAAACAGGGGCATTAAAAGGCGCGTCTATTTTACCTAAACCAGAGGCTATAATGTACATTATGTACATGTTGTGTTATGACAGGTTGTAATATGGACTTTTAAAAAATGATTATATTAGTATTAATATCGTTAGCATTGTCTGTGAAGGTTTTCAGTTATCCAAAGAAGGTTAAAGACAAGACCTTAACATACAGTAAATCAATAAAAACAAGTAACTCGTGGTCATTTCATGTTTTTACAATGAGTAATAGAGCTAAAACAATCAAATCACACAGGTGATTTTCAGAGCTTCCAGCTGAACGACGGCTGCTAATGGTCAGTTTGGTTTTTTTTTCAGTTACAATCTGTGGAAAGATTTAAGCTCTTGGACATTTTAAGTTGGCTGCTCGAATTTGTTAACAGAATTTGTTCAAGTTTAAGGCCTACAACGGCCTAACAAACGTAAATATGGGTAGTAACAAACTTTATAATCAACCTATAGGCCTACAGACGTTTGTCTGGTTTTGAATTAAATGCTGATGGAATCACTTCCTGTCCATCAGATAGACATCTAGTGTAGGAACGTTTGCCTGAGGGCACGTAGTCCAGTAATAGGAAGTCAAAAGTTATTAAATAGTGGTCAGATAAAGTGGGATTCTGTGTAAAAAAAACTACTAAATGTTCAATTTCAATGCCAAAACTAGGTTGAGGAGGGTGTGGTTTAAACAGTGACTGGCTTTATGAACACTGACTGAAGCCAACTGAATCTAATAGGGCGTTAAATGCAGCACTAAAGCTATGTCATTGTCAACAAACTCATTTCATGTTGTCATTATGAGTATTGTTCTGGATGCACGGTATATAGCTAATGTAAGTCTCTGGATAATGTTATATAGAAGGGATCATATTTAGACTCATCAGTCTAACTGAGTTAATAAATCAAGTGAGAAGTCAGATTATTATCATATACTTCACCCAGAGGTTCTCTCGTGCTTCTCTCACACTGTTGAGTCAAAATTGAAATATCCACTAGACTGTTAAAGAAATGTCACCAAAATGAGAGAGAAGAAGCTATCTCAACAAAAACAGAGTGAAAAGTAAACAATGTGATGAGATAACTTAAAAAAGAGGGACCTGATAAAAGTATCTGATCAAATCCTAATATTTATTTCCAAATGCTCAGGAGCTAAAACCAAAAAGGAAAAATACGGTAAATAATCAGTTGACTTGTTAAACCAGCAGACCCCAGATCTGGGTCTTGGATTAAAATCTGTAACGTGGCCTTTATACAATAATGTAATTTGTACCTCAACCATGTAGTGCCATCAAACATCCACAAAAGCTTGAGCTGTAGTATAAGATAAACCTTTGTTAGTCCCCCGTACAGGGGAAATTTAGATTACTGGTTGATTCTGTTTTTATTTGGTTAAAATCACTACCAGTCTGAATAAACTGGTGATAAATTGACCCCATCTATCTCTACCAGCCTATCCACACAAAGTTGTTTGGTCTGTTTCAATTTGTGCAAATTTTGTGGAATGTTTAGTGTCAAAGAAAAATCATCAACGAATATTCCTCATAGCTTTTTTCATTTCATCCCCGGTGTGAAAAAGTCTTTAGGCAGCTCAACGTGGGACGGGACTGAAATTAAACAAATGTTTTTATTATTGGAGTTGACTTTTTATTTTATTAAAGTAGGTCTATTTAAGTGGAACCTCCACACTGATACTCTGATTGTTGTTCATCAGAGGTTATTAAAATCTAAATATTTCCAACATACAATTTAATTTCTTACTCTCATTATTGACTGTTGCAGTTTCTCTAAGTGATTTGGTTGTTTTAGTCTCCTTCCTCAACAGAGTGTCGCCCTCTAGTGTCTAAACACACACACTGTCTTATTCTGTGTAGTTTCACTGAGAGCAGAGCTCAGAGGTAAAATGCTGTCTGTCACAGATCTGAGTTATTTCCTGCTCTGGGATCAGATTTTAGCCTTTTATTTATTTATAAGATGTCATTAACTTGTGAAGGCTCATGATAATTAGCGCCAGGAAAACCATGAAAATACGACAATGTGTGTAACTTTTTAACTAACATAATTATTACTTATTCTGAATGAGATTCACCAGTACTTTTACAAAAACTCTTAAATTAAAATGTTCCAAAATTATTTACAAGGATAAATCTATTGAACATGTGTTTTTAAAGATGTAGATGTTAAACACCATGTTGAGCAAATGGAAAGTACTATATCACCGGAAGTGAGAAGGGATTTCCCGACTGAGAAAATTAATTTAACGGCCGCCTGAAGTCGGAACAACAACTCGGAAAAGCAGAGAACATTTTAGCACTTTTTCAGCACACTTTGACGACAATGTTAATGACAGTTCAGCGTTCATGTTGTTTCCACTTTACCATGTAAAAGCACATGAACCCACCGAGAGCGACTTCACAACACGCGATCATACAAGGAGCACTTGAACGCAACGTCCACATTCAGCACTCTGTTAACGAGTCCAGTAACTTTGGTTTTAAGTAATTTATCTAACATGTTGCAGTTGAAAGCTCTGGAGCTTCTGTTCTTCTGGTTCTGCCTGCTGACTGTGTCTGGAATAACTCCTGGACACATGGATACAAACGGTAAGAAAGCTAATGCGTAACTTTAAAGGTAATGATAACACAACATTTGGTCAAGCGACAGACACCGGTACTGCTTCATTAGGTGTTCATTATTAATTTGGGAGCTGTCATGCGGACTGTTGTTTAATGGCCACCAAGAGGTTTCCATGAACTAAATATTTATTTCATTCCCACTGCAGAGTTGTGGTTTTAAGAAGTTACATTTCAGACGTCGTTTCATTCTGTGTAGCGACTGTTTATGTCGTGCGGCTCCTTCTCTGAACAACCAGGTGACTCCTGAAATCCACTGACGCCAGGAATCAACAGCAGTGTCCCCCAGATTCATTCAGGAGCGGCTGATGTTTGATTGTCTGAGCGGCAGAAAGTGACGGTGAACGCGAGCAGAGGAAAATTACAGGGTGCCGGCTGCGGCTGCGGCTCAGGAGGTAGAGCGGGTTGGCCGTTATTCGGAAGGTCGGCGGTTCAATCCCTGGCTCCCCCTGGTTGCGTGTCGAAGTGTCCTTGTCCTGTTCCGCCAGTGTATGAATGTGTTTGACTGGTGAATGCAGATGTAGTGTATGAGTGGTCGAAAAGACTTGAAAGGCGCTATACAAGTACGGAGCATTTACATTTACAGGGTTTCAGTTTCTCAAGACCAAGAGTGATGCCGCTTACTGCTTACTGCAATGTCTACGCTTAATATGCCGACTGCTCAACACTATGCAACTTCACGTTGTGTTTACTACGTCATCACGCAGATGAAGTTGCTCCAGAGGCGTGTGAGCTCTGGTCGCTCTGGATGAAACTAAATGAGTAAATGTAAATACATACATGAGAAAGAAACTAGTAATTTTAAACTAAAGAGGAGACGATTCTTTATGATTATTGTGCAAATGAAATGCTTGGTAATTAAGGGAGGTGGTTCTCATGTTGCCTATTTTCATATTAATTTCTACAGATAAGCTAAAGAAGTTTTACATTGAGACACAAAAGGCAAACATGAACTATCTTATCTACAATGATTATGAGGTCATATTAACAGGGTTTTCCTGCCGTTAAAGGCTTGATGTGGGGCCCAAAACAGCTTGGGTGCTGTGTCATGAATGTAAAATCACTGTGGAGAGAGGATGGAAAATAAAACTAAATAACTTCTCCAAAATCTATTGGTTATAGTTCCTCCCCAGACAAATTATTTAGCAAGTTTAGTCATTAAGCTTTCTGGTTGTTGTTGTTTATTTATTGGACAAAGTCAAATTTTAGATGTGCATCACTTGCTCATGGACACAACAGCACTGCAGCTGAAGTTTTGTATTGGGGTTACTGACTGTGTTGTAAGACTGCAAATACACTGAAGCAGTGATCACTACATACATTTTAAACTCAGTATCATGGGCTTCATCTGTAAAGAGATCACTGTAGTTACTGAGGTTGGATTTGTCATCAATAACTACTGTATCTAAGGTGGCAGACGCCTTTATCCAAATCGACTTACATCTGAGGAACAACATAGAAGCATCCGGTCAGAGAGATCTACAAGCAACACTAGATGTTAGTAAGAGATATTAAAGCATACGGTGTCACTGGGGTAAATACCTGTGGGAAGCAATAGGAGTTAACAAATGGTGCCGTCAAGACAAGCACATGTTAAGGAGAGAGATGAAGAAGAAGTGCAGGCTGGATGTTAGCGGCTCAGAGGAAGTGTTCTTGAAAGAGGTGACTTTAAGACAACATTTAAATGTGATGTGGATGCAAATCTATGTCCTGATGTAAATGACAAAACATATGTTTTGTTTATCACCACTAAGTTACTTTATTTGAACTTGTTTGACTTTTTGCCTTTGTGGAAAAAAGAATCTTTCTTCTAGTATTTGTAGTTCATGAAAAAACATTGTGCTCAAACAAAAGTGCATCCATCCAAAGTTAGTTTGTGTGCGTTTTGTTTTCCGTGAGCTAAATTTTGACTGAATAAAAGGGGTTTTGTTTCTTTTCATTAGTTTTTCATTTAGACACTTTCTGATTTGTTGTTTGTATGAAGAGTTAAGAGAAAACAACACTTTGCAGTTTTGGTGTTTGTCACCTGTTCTTAAAACCAGGCTTTTGTTTCTAGCAGAGCATCAAAGTAATGAAGAAAACTGTGATCTGAATATGTCTTCATTTCTGCTGTAATCTATTATGATATTTAATAATAGGCAAAATCCAAACGCACAATATCAAACTTGGCTCACACTGAGCCCTCAGTCTAAAACCAAACCAAAACAACTCTCCAACACTGTCTTTGTGATTCATCAGGGCCTTTTTTCAGAGACCAAGATCAGATAAACCCTAGATCAGTACGCCGGCAACTTACGCTGTGAACACCTCCTCCTTGGGGAGATCAAGATTTCTCTCTGACTCCTCCCCTCCAGTTTAATTAATTCATTCACACTGTCGATGTCAAAGCACATCTGAACCCATTTAGATGCAGATGTTTAGTCTTTAGAAACATCGAAATCCCGGTCAGATATAATTGTTGAACGCAAACATGATCTTAAACATGAGCGCTTTTATGATCAATCTGTCATCGATTTATGGACAGAGACTCTCCGGACATCGTTCAGAATAAAATCTACAGGCTGCACTGTCCTGTATTACACTCAATGTGTTTTAACAGCATTTCATTAAACACCAAAGGAGCAAGATTTTTTTTATCTGGCATTTATCTAAAACTTTACAGTCAGTTTGAAGCTGGACACATTTCCACTGCAAAAATAATTAATACTGAGTTTGACTGAACTAATTCTGATCGACTTTTCTGGAACAGAGTTTCCCACCTCAGGCTCAATCAGCTCAGAGTTTGTTGAACCTGCTTTCTGAAACAGCCCTACTGTCTAATGTCAGCCTACATACGGCAACATGTGAACAACATGTGAATGGGGAGTACTCATCTTGTCACAAGATCTCTGACGTAATTGCTGACGTAACCTGCACTCTGCGCATGCGTTGGCGTCTGTAGCCACCTGTCGGAAGCTCCGTCTTAAACCGAACTCTTATCCAGTTTTAATCCACTCTTTTTCGTTACATTTTTTATATCCTTTTTATTTAACTTAAGTTTTACGTGGGTTAAGAATTTTAGTCATCTGACATGGATTTTAAGCTAGATGACCGTAAAAACGCGATCAACGCTACTGATCGCAACAAAGCTCCGGTGACTATGCTAGCCGAGATAACTCTGCCCCATGAGGACTTTACACTCCTTAAGAAAGCGAACAAGAAGATTGCTGACCTTATGGAAGACATCCGACGACTTTCAGAGGAACTCAAAGAGAAAGATTCCCTGCTGACTGGCTTTATGGATGTAGCTTCAGTACAAGCCAAACAGATCTCTTAGCACAACCGCTAACATCCAGGACACCGTGTTTTGGGACCCCTCTAGTCTTCCCAGGCTTTCATCCTGCTCGACTCCGAAGCATCAGTCAACCTGGGCTGAAGTGGTGGTCCGTGGCTGCAAGAGAGGCTCGGATGGGGCTGCCTCTCCTCCGCACATCGGCCTCTCCAACCGCTATGCAGCCTTGTCTAACGACACTCCGGTCCATCCAGCTGATGCACCTGCGGCTTCGAGTCTCCCTGATACGGATACCTGCCGACACTGTTGCATCTCCTCCACCGGCTACATCTCCTGCACTGGGCCGCCGGTCAAAAACCTCCGCTTCCCGACGTAGGATCCTGAAGGAGGCTGTGCTCAGACGCTCCGGAGGCCGTCTCTACCCTGCACCGTCGGGTAGCCCTTCTCTCCGGTCTGTTACTGCTACTCCAACACAACACTCGGCAGCTCACACACTCCATCCTCAGTCCGCACGCAGTGTTGAAGCAGATTCTGCTCAGTCCTGCTCTGGAACCCCACAACAGGCATCTCCTCGTCCTCTTTTCTCCCCAACCACACTAATAATTGGTGACTCCATAACCAGAAACATCCGTTTCTTTAACGCTACCACTCGCTGCTTCCCCGGTGCCACCACAGCTGACATTTTAAAAAAACTCCAGGACCTGATGCCGTCGCTCCCGTCCTCCATCACAAGAGTGATAGTCCATGTGGGAACAAATGACACAGCTCTTCAGCAGTCTGAGCTGACAAAATCAGATTTTAACCGTCTTTTTAACTTTTTAAAGCAGTGTGGAAAGTCCGTTTTTATCTCTGGTCCCATTCCCACAGTCGGTCGCGGTGCTGGCCGCTTCAGTAGACTCCTTGGCCTCCACGACTGGCTCCAGTCCGCCTGCAGGGCTCACCGTGTGTGTTATGTGGATAATTTTAATATTTTCTGGCAAAGAATGTCTCTTATTAAGACAGACGGACTTCACCCAAACAAACGGGGCTCAGAAATGTTAGCTGCTCACATACAGCATGTGGTGCGGTCCACACATGACTTACGTGAATGACTAATCATTCATGCAGCACACCTGGACACACCACCGCTCACTGAACAGATCTCTGCCTCACTGCCACAAACAACTGTCTCCACCTGCTGGCATGTAAAGCCGTCTGCTCCCAGCGCTGTTCCAAAGACTTCTATTCCTGTCATCATCACGCATAGACCAGTAAACCGAAATGTGCACATCCCACACAGAAATATTAGTAATCTCTTAAGGATTAGGACAACTGCACCAACTCCAGCACCCAGAACAAACTCATTTAAAATGGCTCTCTTCAATGTGAGATCACTTTCAAGTAAGACTTTTATCTTAAATGATTTTATCTTGTCTGCAAATCTAGATTTTATGTTTTTAACTGAATCCTGGTTGCAAATGAATGACTATAGCCAGCTATCTGAACTGTGTCCGCCTCAATATGATTGTTTTAGTCAACCGAGGGTCAGTGGTCGTGGTGGTGGGCTAGTGAGCATGTCAATTTTAAATGTGTCAAGTATGCTGTGATGAATTTAACTCCTTTGAAGTTCTCACTCTTAAAGTTGGAGGGCTGCAACCTATCATATTTGTTATAATTTATCGCCCCCCAAAACCGCCTGGAGGATTTTTATCAGAACTTCCTGAATTTTTATCTACTCTGGTTTTAAATTATGACAGAATTGTTCTTTGTGGCGATTTTAATATTCATGTTGATGACCCCAACAATGTTAATGCAACTGACTTTTTAAATATGGCCACTTCTTTTAACTTCAAACAACATGTCAAAGGACAAACACATAACCGTGGTCATACACTGGACTTGGTTTTTACCCTGGGTGTCAGCATTTCCTCTGTGAAATTAGTGGACATGACCATATCTGACCACAGATGTATTGTTTTTAGCTGCGATTCGCCTGTTACTCATGCCGCCTCACCAAGCCGTGTGTTGTCGCATCTTTAATGAACAAAGTGTTTCAAAGTTTTGCGCATTCTTTCAGAGCCAAAGCTAAAACCTGTCTGATTCCAACACCAACAATCTGGTCGATCACTTCAATCATATCTGCTTGTCGTCACTAAATATTACTGCTCCTCTAAAGGTTAGGCCTACGTCTAAAGCTAGTAAGCAACCCTGGATAAATGACAGCATTCGCAGCCTAAAAAGGGAATGCATGGAAAAAATCCAGTCTCCAAGTCCATTACCTCAGTCTGAAGGATTTATTAATTAAAGTTAATTAATAAATCCTTAATAAATCTCGCATCCTTAACCATGTTATTGTAGTTCTACAATAACATGGTTAAGGATGCGAGAACACACTATTTTTCTGAACTCATTACTACACATAAACACAATCCCAGGTTTCTGTTTAAGACTGTGGATCAGCTGGTAAACCCAACCCCTCCTTGTGCCTCAGCTGGAAGTAATGATGACTGTGAATTGTTTTTATCTTATTTTACCAATAAGGTGGTGTCAATCAGAGCCTCTATTACCCCCGTGGCTCTTACTCAGAGGTTCCTCACCAGCAACAAGAGATTTTAACCAGTTTTATCACATCGACTTGTCTGAGCTTTTAAAAACAGTATCACAAATGAGAGTGTCCTCCAGCCCACTTGATATAATACCTACAAAGTTTTTACTGAAAGTAATAGATTCTGTTGGGCCCCATTTGATCTCTGTTTTCAACAGCTCCCTATCTACTGGTTGTGTCCCTGATTATTTTAAAACGGCTTGCGTGAACCCACTTTTAAAGAAACCTGGTTTAGATCCCTCCCTCCCACATAATTTTAGACCAATTTCAAAAATGCCTTTTATTGCAAAGATTCTAGAAAGAATTGTGTCCAAACAGCTGCTCACTGTGCTGGAAAATAACAAATATTTGAAAAGTTTCAGTCTGGTTTCAGGAAGTACCGCAGCACTGAGACTGCCCTGCTTAAAGTCACCAATGACCTTTTAATGTCTGCTGATGAAGGCATGTGCTCAGTCCTTGTACTCCTGGACCTTAGCGCTGCTTTTGACACCATTGATCACAACATCATGTTAGACAGACTGAGGCACTGGGTGGGGATCTCTGGTACTGCCCTAGAATGGTTTTCATCCTACCTGTCAAATAGGAAGTTTTGCGCGTCTGTAAACAACTATGTCTCTTCGTTCTGTCCAGTTAAATATGGTGTGCCTCAGGGGTCGGTCTTAGGGCCCATTTTGTTTTCCTTGTATCTGCTTCCCCTTGGACATATTATCCATAAACATGGCATTTCTTTTCATATTTATGCTGATGACACACAAATATACTTGCCCGTCAGATCCACAGACCCTGGAATGCTGAGTTCACTTAACAACTGCCTTTGTGAAGTTAAAAAATGGATGTCAAATAATTTCCTCCAGCTGAACTCAGACAAAACAGAAATCCTGGTCATCGGGTCTCAGCAGATGGCAAATCAAATACTGCCATCTGCTGGTTCCCTAGTAAATCACATTAAGCCTGTGGCAAAGAACCTTGGTGTTTGGTTTGATAGTAATTTAAATTTCGAGCAGCACACCACAAAGCAACTTAGAAATATAGCAAAAATTCGATCTATGTTAACTTTTAAGGACACCGAGACCATTTTACACGCCTTCATCTCATCACGCCTGGATTATTGCAACAGCCTTTTCACCTGTTTAACCCAAAAATCTATTGATCGACTCCAGACTGTCCAGAACTCAGCTGCCAGGCTTTTAACCAGAACAAAGAAATATGACCACATTACTCCTATTTTAGCTTCATTACACTGGCTCCCAGTATGTTTTAGAATTGACTTTAAAATTCTATTGATCACTTTTAAAGCTCTTCATGGCCTCTCGCCTTGTTATATTTCTGACCTTTTAGTCCCATACGCACCAGCACGTACCTTGAGATCCTCGGGCAGAGGTCTGTTGTCTGTTCCAGAGTCTCGACTGAAAACTAAAGGGGACAGAGCGTTTGCTGTCAGGGCCCCGAGGCTCTGGAACAGCCTGCCCGAGGAAATCAGGTCGGCTGAGTCAGTGAACTCTTTTAAGTCCCTTCTTAAAACATACTTTTATAGGAGAGCCTTTCCCGATCTAATTTGACTTTATTTTATCCCTTTTATTTTATTCTATTTTACTAATTTTATATTTATCTTAAACGTGTATTGTAGTCTTTTCAATGTTTTCTTGCTTATATCTTGTATTGTCTTTTGGGTATTATTGTCTTTACACTTGTTAAAGCACTTTGTAACTTGTTTTTGAAAAGTGCTCTACAAATAAAGATTATTATTATTATTATTATTAAATATTCTTAAATGACGCCAACATGAAAAATCTCCATAAATAATGTGCCGACTAACTAACGTGTTTATAAACTGGTGTTTCAGAGTCATTGAGGTGACATGTAAATGTGTTATCTGATGTTCTGTCTGAACCTGATTGATCTCTATTTGAACAGAATGACTAAAATAATCTTCTTCTTTCAGGGTCGGGTGACGTCAGAGTGGTTGTGGAAGAAGGAAGTGACGCAATTTTACCCTGTTCCCTCAGCACCAAGGAGAACGCAGAGGAGAAACTCTTTGACTGGAAGAAAGATGGTCCGAAGGAGGTTTTCTTTTATGATGGAGGCCTTCATTACAACAACGGCCGTCCAGGTCAAGATCATCAGTTCAAAGGTCGCGTCTCACATTTTCAAGAAGAACTGAAGTACGGCAACGCCTCCATCATCATCAGAAATACGAAGGTGACCGACTGTGGAAACTACAGCTGTGATTTTCCACATCTTCAGCCAAGACAGATATTCAACATTCAGCTACTTGTTGGTGAGTGTTTTCATTAAAGGGGTGTTATGTAGTTTTCAGCGACCACTAGCGGTGCAGTTTTTAGAGTGCAACCAGGCGTGTGCTCGAACTCAAGAGCGAGCAAACTCTGACACAGAAAGAGCAAAACACCAGGAGACACTTTCACCTGAGTATCAGTAAAATTACTAAAAATCTAAACTGAACGTTACGAAGCAAACAACAGTAGAGCCGTGCTAAAGTAGCTGGCTGCTCCTGCCTTGCATCAAGGCCGGTATAAACATCTCGTTCAGTCTGACGGGCTACAGCACATAACACTTTTTAAAAATCTTTTTTATCCTTACATGGAGTTTGTGCTGGGAGCCTGTTGTTTTGTGGTGTTAGTGGACTCGTTAGCTGCGTTGTTGTCACTGTGGTTGGAGAGAGGTTCAGGAGCCCGACCGTGGCTGTTGCAAGCAACAGAGAAAAGAGGCGTGTGCTTCATTTCTAAGTGATGTTAGAGCCCACTGACAAAAAGGCTGAACAAATTTAATGTAGTGATAAATTATTTCATTGAAAAACTACATACAGCCCCTTGAAACAGTTAATCTATATTGTTCCTCCAGATGTCCAGCTGTGTTTTCAGGTTTGGTTTGACTCCAGCTGTTCTTCCTCGTCTGTTCAGTCTTCTTTTTAAACCACCGACAACGAGGAACACCTTGAAAGTACGACTTTAATCACATATCAGCAGTTTAATGTTGACAGCTGAGAATTTAACGGGCGTGTTTTTACTATTTGCAGTAACGTAGCTTGTTTCTCATTTCACCGTTTTAATTATTCTCAACATCAGACTATATCTGTATAAACAGTGTTGTCTAATTTTATATCTCCTCTGAAATTATACCGATATACCTGGCAGCCCTACTTTGAAGTTATGATGAATCTCAGTTTTAAATTCAACTCTGTGGTAAAGTTTAAGGCCTCAGTAAGTCAGACACAGTTGAGACATCTGCCCTCTGTAGCTCCTGTACTTTCAGCCTGTGATGCTCTTTGTAACATTTACCTGACGTCTTTTTCTCCTTCTCCCCTTTTCTTCCTTTACCTCTACTTGTTCTTTTCTTTCTTAACTATAATCAGACATGCTAGTTGTCCTCTTCCTGCTTTACCTCTCCTTGGCCTGCCTGATCTTTGTCTCCACATCATGTCAGAACTGAGCCTCTGCTTCTTCTGACTGCTCTGCATCTGATCTCAGGTGACTTAACTGCTTCTGTTCAGTGCTCTACTTTAACTACTTTTGAGTTTTCTTCAACAAAATGCATATGATTACATTTACATAAACTCTAATTCATCCTCAGCCAAATGTTTTGTTAATTTGACAAAAAAACAACAACAACAACCTGGAAAAACTAAATCTTGTAATTGAACATTTAGGTATTTATCTTTATCATGTAATCTAAATCAAAATAAGTGTTAAGTGTTTTGTTTTGAGTTTAAATAAAATGTTGATTTAATTCTGGAATTATTTTGAATAAATTATTAACAAATAAATCAGACAATGTAAAAGCAATTTATTGATATTCCCAAAGTTATGGTCTTGACTGGTCTTGAAATAAAATCCCGATGTTCACGAGGGTGTAACGGTTTTGAAACGGAGACCAAAATCGTGACATCAAAGTCCACGGTCTCGTGTCGTGGATCCAAGAAACAGAACCGCGACACACCCTCTCCGCAGACTGTAGAACACAATGCAACTGTGGGTGGCGGCGGCCGGTGGAGGGTGGGCTCTGTAGCGGTGTTTATTTTTTTTATGTTAATATTCTCTTTCAGATCTCACCTTCAGAAACCGTTTAAACGAAATCACAGGTGCGTCACTGATCTGTACATGTGTGCTACAACTCTCTGGGCCTCAGTATCATTAAAACGTTTGACGCAGGACCTTCATGTTGACTAACCATCACAGCAGGTTCTGCACATTTGGATGTTACTGATCTCTACATCTGCTTTGTTTATTGGCTGCTTTTGAGACACAAACACACCTGCTGCTGTTTTCTCAGAGGCACTTGTAGGTAAACTACCTGTAGCCACCAGCAACACTGTCAGACTGATCAGTGGAAGCTGATGTTGAAGGTGTTGTGTTGGCTTGGTTCATTATGATAAAGGACAATGTCTGCGTTAACGTGTTCTGTCAAACGTCTTGAATATTACCCAGCTCTAAGGTCACTAAGTTGTAGCACACACGCTGCAGATGTAGAGATCAGTGACGTCAGTCAAGAGTCACTGTTACTTTCTCCTGATCTGTCTTTAAGTTTGAAACCCTGAGATTTATATTTGAATGGAAACTACATTTGTAGTGTTCTGTTTACATGATTTTCTTATTACTGTGTTCACAGGTGCAGCTGCAGAGCCGTCCATCACGATAGTTAACATCACAGAGTTTGGGGTCCTGCTGCAGTGTGACGTTAGAGGTGCTTTTCCTAAACCTACAGTAGAGTGGCAGGACGGTGCTGGAAACAAACTTACTGCTGAAGAGACACAGGTCTCAGAAAGAGAAGGTCACTTCTACATCACCCTCCAAACCACTGTGACCAAGACCAAAACCAACCGCTTCTATTGTGTAGTCCAGCAGGACGACATCGGTCATATAATCAGTAGTAACATCGCTTTGCCAGGTGAGATTCATTTTAGTGGTTTTATCTGAAAATAGTTGTTGATGTTTATATAGTGTTATTTTAATGTTCATAGATTTTAGCAGCATGGCCGCCTCAGTAGTAGTTCTGTGTAGGTAATAACCAGTGTGCTGTACATGAGATACAGTTTACATTCTGAGTGTGACTCTAGGTTTTGTTGTGTGTTTCAGAGAAACTGTTTGAGGACACGTGCAGCAGAGGGGACGTCACAGGATGGTTGGGTGGAATTTTTTTGGGAGCTGTAATTGTTGCTGCAGTTCAAGGTTTTCTTGTAGCTACAAAGATCATCACAGTACGCTGTAATAAAGGTCAGTTTATATAATGGATTCTATCAACATAACAGATACAGAAACCATCTCATGTCACAATGTTCTTTCTTCAATGTTCTTTTTTATTAAATTGATTGATTTGCTTTTATTGGACAGGAGCAGCTGATGAGAAACAGAAAAATGGGAAGAAAAACAAAAGAGTGGAGGAATCAAACCTGCAGGCTCCACCAGGTGAGTTACTGGGCGCCCCTTACGTTTGGTATTTACATTAATAAAAAAAAAATCCACTAAGCTTCATTTATTTATTTATGAGGCCTCTGGTTCACATTGTGATTGTTAAAAAATATAAAGCAAGCTTTAAATACATAACTGTCCATTAAATGGATGTTTTTGACAGTTTCTTTAACAAATGTTTGAATATCAAATTCAAATTAGCTTTATTGGCATGAATGTGTAGCAACAATATTACCAAAGCTGCATATAAAGCACATAAGGACAATTAATTTCATATATATATATAAGGAAATAAAACAGCAAAAGTTGTTTGTGTGTGTTAATACCAAGTAAAATAATAATAAAAAATATATCATATAAACATTCTGTAAAAATAAATATAAAAAAAGTAAATAAGTAAAACAATAAGCCTGTGTTAGAAAATTAAAGTAATATATTAAAATAAATAAAGTGTGTTATTATAATATACTAAAATTTTTTAATAAAACTGTAAATTTGTATATTAATAGACAATAAAAAATTATTTCATTTAAATAAAATTTAAAAAATCAGTATCAAATGTGAGACTAAAATCTCAACAATTACTAAAATATCACACAATCAAAATAATAATTTACAATTATTTATTAGTCTAAGTTTATATCATTCACTTCTTGTTTTTCCATTTTGTCTCTGGAAACATTTGAAAGTAAAAGTCCTGAATATTCTGCCTGTCTGCTGATACTGACCACCATTTAAATGATTTGATTATTTGTAAAAAACTGTCTGTGCTGTTAAAACCGAATTATTTCCAAGAAACTTCATGTGATTTTGTAGGTGTTACGCTGAAAGTAGCCTATAATATTGTGAAAACATCAACCTACATTACCTCATTAACAGGTTATTGTTCCATTAATGTCGCCATGTTACCAATTATAATCCAAATATTGTTCATGTAACAATTTTATTGTTAGGTACCACATTTTCATCAAAACATAACTAATACTAAAGAACTTTTGCTTTGTTGCAATCTTTAATGTGTTTCCCCATTATTACCCTTTGTTTGTTAACCTTTTTGCCCTGTTACTGTATTTTTTGCCTAAAACCACCCAGATAAATCAGACGCTGGACGATTAATTACAAAGTAACCGAAATTCAATTTAATCAACGTAATTTCCCCTTGTTGGTTATTTCGTTTTTTTAATCCTATTAATATTTCCCCACAGTTTGTGTTCACGTACTTTCCTCTAAAAAACATACTACAGCATGTGTAGTCATGTGACTTCACCCCATTTAGTTAGTTTTGGTGTCACAATGGTTTTACATTCATGGCACAGTACCAAGCTGTTTTAAACCTCACGTCTTAAGCAGGGAAAACCCTGTTAATGACCTCAGAGTCATTAGAGATAGGATTGTTCATTTTTGGCATTTGTCTTAATTTACTGCTTTTTTTTTAATGTTTTTGTTGTTTTGTTTTTGTTGATACCAACTAAACCAAATAATAGGCAACATGAGAACCACCTCCCCTCTGTTTAATTACCAAGCATCTCATTAGTACATTAAATTCAAAAGAATCGTCCTCATCAGCTTAAAGGACTACTTTTTATCCATCATTTGTTTTACTAACCTCAGCTCTTCTATGGTCACTGCGGTCCATTCTTTTCCTGTCCAGAAACCAGATATATAATTTCAGTAGGATGTTCAGTATGTGTACATGACAGAGCTGTAACCTGACAACTTCCTGCTAATCTTTTCCTCTGCTAACTTTCACCATCACTTTCTGCTGCTGACTCTCACACTCATTTCACTGCCCTTTAAAAAAATAAAAACTTCCTGCTCTTACAGCAGCACCTGTCATGTAGACGTCCTTTGATGAATGAGGAGAGGCAGCCAGCAGAGCGTTGAGTGTTACCCTGCTTGCTCAGTGTGCAGGTGAAAATCATTAGTTGCACATTGATATTAATCATAAATGTTAGTAGCACCAAATACAGGGGGGACATTCTTTGTCGTAGCACCACAGAGTCTCCGCCGCTGCACTCCCGACTTCCGTCAACATTACGTATCAGTTAGCAAAAAACGACTTATGACATTCATGAATTACCTTTAATAGTATATTTGATATATTTAACATTAATAGTATTTAATAGAGCATATCGACAGCACAAACCTGGTCAGTGAACTATGAGGACAAACAAAACAAAAGTTCATTAATCGTAATCGAGGTAAAATATTTAATTGTGATTTTAGGTCAAATCTTCCAGCCCTAGATACACCCATTGTTAATACCAAGCTATTACTTTATCTTTAAAATAAAAATGTTCCCAAGTTATTACCAACCTATAATGTAACGTGCTACCAAGTTTTCTTACTCTGAGGTCAGATTTGTCCTTTTGCCAAAACCTTCTCTGGTTCCAGCTCCAACAATAGTTGCAGGTTGACTGTTATACATGACTTAATCATAATCTATGAACAAAAAGGATGCAAGTACATTTCTTAGTTGTAATAATGCTTCTTGGCAGTAAATCTTACAGCAGTGGAAAACCTGTTTATGTCCCTTTTTAAATGGTGTCACATTTGTAAGAAACGTGCATTTGTGTGATGAGCAGCAGAGCGGAGTGTGTGAGTTACACCATTTAAAAAGGACATAAGCAGGTTTTCCACTGCTGTAAGATTTACTTCCAAGAAGCATTATTACATCAAAGAAACACTCCAAACACAAATGTTCTTACTTTCTGTGTGTAGTTTATATTCTGCAGGTGGAGATCCATAAACTGTCGGCTCTGTGTCTCCCAGCTGTGATTGATCATTTGTGTGTATTATATAAAGTTGACTTTATGTAATGTCTACTTTTCTTTTCTGCAGGTTCTCGTGCCCAGGAAAACGGTTTTTGTAGAGCTCATTCAGAGGAGGTGTAAAGGTGTGTGTGAATGTACTGAATCATGTAGATTAGTCCAATGCTGTTTTTTTTTATACATGCTGTATATACTGTAAATTGTAAATATGTAATCTAACAGATCTTTGTGAAACGTGTTATGGTCAGTTTTTGGTTACACAGAGGGGTTTTGACCAAATACATTTTTACATAAAGCAGCTCAACAACGTTACAATAGCAGCGTTATTCAATTGGTCCAGATTTTAAATCCAGGAAATGTACATGGGCCAAACATTTTCAGCTGCCTATTTAAAACCGTTTTGAAACTTTTTGAAATGACACATTAACTAATGGAAATTAATGTTTACAAAATTGAAAATAAAAAGTACTTGCCAGTCCAGTCAGGATTAAAGGGAGGGGTTTCATTGTTTTTCATCATGACAGACAATCACTAGAGCACTTCTCTAACTTAAATGTACATTTTACAGCAGGGAAAATGTTTTTTAATCGAAATGACCAACATTTCTGCAGGTTATGAGTTCACAATGGCAACTATAAAAGATGATTTGTTTGAAAAGACAGAAGAGAAATGTTATTTATTTGTATTTAATAGGAAATAATCCTTTTATATAATGAGCCACATATTTATTTATAGATAATCAGTGATTTTACATATGAATGTAATTTAAAAAGCAGATGTACACACAGTAATTCTTCTGTTCAAAATGAGACAGATGTAGTTTGTTATTGACTAAATACATAAAACAGTTGGGTTCTCACTGATTTTACAGAATCAGATTTACAATTGTATACAAAAAAATGCAAACTGCTATAAAAAGTTACAAAACTTTAATGGTGAAAAAAAAATGTGAGACTTTTTCTCCTGATGAGAAATAGTCACGTTTTAATCTCGTCTCCTATCATGTATCTGTATGCTGGGCCACACAGGGGTTGCTTGCTAAATGCCAGTTAAATAGGTCGTATCAACAAAGATGTAAAAAGTTTCACAAAGATTATTTTATTACTGGATTCTGTATAGATTTTTTACTCTTACGTCTCCATTTTATTTCTGAACCTTGTTTGTTGCTTTTGTTTTACTTTGTTGTCAAAATGTAATTATCCACTGGAAAAATATAATAAATATAATATAAATAATCTTGATGTGCAATTGTTGTTTGTGTACAGCTGTGGTTATAGTACTTGCTTTTATTTTCTATAGTTCCAAAGCAAAAATCTTTAAAAAGTTTTAAAGTTAAAATCTACTTGGCAGTAAATCAGATTATGAGCTTATTGTTTTGGGTGATGAAGCCTGGCTGTTCTCTTGAAGCAGCCGCTCCATCGTTCTTGTTTTATTTTTGCTTTTTGAGGTCTCATGGACGCTGCTGACTAAGAGAAAGTTAAATGCAATAATACATCTGTGAATTACAGGAGTATCCTACGCTGTCTTCTTCCCTGGTTTCCCCCTGGCGTTGATACTAGTGTTCATTCTGAATAGTAAACCTCAGGCTGTGTGTTAGAGATCAGTAATTCACTTGAAAGATATTTCATTAGTTAAATGGTTTAATTAGGGTTAGGGGGTGACAAATAATCGTGACTAGTCGATTAATCAAATAATTAACAGATTAGTCGACTATGAAAATAATGATTAGTTGATTAGTTTTAGAATAAAACTACTGAAAACATTCAGTCTGAAAGAATCCTCTAATCACCTGATTCAAAAGGTGACTGAATTTAAAAAGGAAGACTTGAGCTTATCACACGGAGTATGAAGCTGGTGAGGTTTTTATCTGGACTGTGGCTGATAATCGCTTTGTGCTCTCATTGTGTTAATACAGTATGTAAGTAAGTAAATGTTGTATTACAAGTTAGCAGCTGTGATTGTATTCATGTAAATATCAGTCTACACATTTGTGAATATTTATTCTGTGACTTCACATTCAACTCACGTGTGTGAATATTGTAAACAAGTTAAAATGTTCTCACATTTGGCACCCTATTTAACTTCATATTGTAAGGAGTCACCAGATAAATCTGGGGGATTGTGAGATGAATAATAGGAAAGGAAAGAAGAAAAAAAAACAATTCTGATACACAAATTACTTTTGAGTTCTCAAATACTAACTTTTTAAAGAAATGTTAGATAGTTTTACATCTTTTTGCCTCAAACAGTTTAAATGAATTCTTTACATGAACTATGTAAATACAGCAGTGGTAGAACTAAATACATTTACTTAAGTAATTTTAATTCTGAGGCTTTAATGTTATGCCATAATATGGGATTATTCTGACATATTTTAAAGAAGTTCCCCGCGTCACCCTTTACAATCATGGAACATATTAAAAGTGTTATCCCACTTATACCATAGCCACTTAAAGCTACTAAAATTAGTTGCACCACGATTACTTGTGGCATACTTAATTAGTTTAGGCGTAAAGTCATAACTAAGGCGAGTGGCCAATCAACGATCAATAATTTAGAGACAGAGTCAAAGAGAGATTGTAATTCAATGCAGAACAAATGAGAATTAATTCTTTGAAGTGTTCGAGCCTTACAGATGTGAAATTTGCCAACAAGACAACAGTTTTAGAGAATGATTGATGGGTTGTGAGTCAGTATTACAATTTAGAAACTAGACCATGTCTTCTGATATGGATGTTAAAGTGTTAAATAACAGAACAAGTTTCACAAAGGCTGTTTTTATTTCAGGGATTTTATCTCTCAACAACTGTTTGAGTAAGATCTCGAAACATTTCTGTACCCTGTATGTGCTTTGATTCATTGTCCTTAGTCTTGTTTTATTGTTGTATTGCATTTGTATTTTCTCCTCTCTCCATAAACGTGAAGTAGATGAAGCCACCATAATAGTTCTCGGATTAAAAACTGTAACGTGGCCTGTTTAAAATAATGTAGTGCCATAAAACCTCTATAAAATCTTGAGCTGTAAAATAAGATATAGGCCCCCCTTTATTAATCCTGTGTGGGGGGAAATTCAGGTTAATGGCCGAGACTGTTTTCTTTTTGTTAGAAGTCCTACTAGACTGAATACGTTGGGTATAATTTGAGCCCATCTATCTCTAGGAGCCCAAAACAAAGTCTGAATTGTTTGTATTTTTTCTGCAGCTCTTTCGATTTGGGCAAATGTGAGAATATTTGTGTCAAAGGAAAAATAATCAACGAATATTCCTCATTTAGTTTTTTCTTTTCGTCCCCGGTGTGAAAAGATCTTTGGGACGGGACTGAACTTTTGTTTTTTGTTATTGGAGTTCACTTGTTTCAGAAAAGTATGTAGAATAGCGGACTGGCCCTCAGGAGCACCAGGAGATTTCCCAATGACCTGAGGGCCGTTTTGTTCCTCCCATTGTCAACTTGAACACCATTACAGCAAGTTTTTTTTATATTTTTATAATATAGCAAGCAGGAGACTCCACACATCAGGCCCGTCTCAAGGCCTTTTCAGACGGGGAGCTACAGTTCTGCCTGGTACATTGGCTAGAAATTGAAGGATGGACGTGTTTATTTCTGTTCTGTTTGCGTTGTTGCGTTGGACACCAGAGAGCGAGTCTTCAGTTTTTTGTCGGCTGAAGGAGCTTTTTGGACTTTTGTATTACTGACTCTGATCGTTGAAGCTTATGTTCAGTGAACGTGTGTGAAGTGTTTAATGCTTTTGATATGACTGATGCTTGAAAAATAAAATAATTTAACATTAGAGCAAACTCTGTATATCTTATTCTCTAATAGCTTTTTGTGTCTAGCCTTGTACGTTTGTATATTTCTATGATTGGTTTCTCAGGTGTTTGTGAGGGTGCAGCCACAGCACCTTGAAAACTCAGTGTTCAGACAGGCTACTTGTTGGTCAAACGTTTGTATCTTGTAATGTGAATAACTTTCTTCCCAGGTGAACATAGTGGCCAAACCTATACCAAGTTCAGTACCTAGTAGGTGTAGTTTTAACATTTACCAAGCTCATTGAACTTTAAATTAGATATTATGTCCTAAAACACGTCTGTATGGGATCTTTGATTATCAAAGTTGTGCAGCCTGCAGTTTAATACGTGTTTGAAACAGTTTCAGACGTCACAAGTGAATCCAGGATCTGTGACTGTTCTTCTCTGGACCTCCATGAAGCCATCAGACCTGGTTTCTGTGTTAAATACAGAAGAAAACCAGGATATTTGTATTTTTTTTTACAGATCTCTGCAGTACACATTGGAAATGATTCCTGTAAAAAGGAACTTACAAATGTAATTTACAAATGTGTAAAAACTGTGTTGTGTGTACACATTACTCTGTATTTTTGTGGATATGATTTTACATAACACAAATAAAAATACACATTTGTGAATAGTGAAATATTTGTCAATCATAGTACACATTTGCGGATTGTCTTCTGTGGGTTACAAATATAAAAGTCCAATTAAATTTTAGGTTAATTACTAAGGTAACTTAAACTCTGTCGTGAGAGTATTCCCAAGCAATTAAAGGTGCATGCGTTTTAAGGGAAAAGACCATAACAGTCCTGTATTCCCCAAATATTACCAGTGTATGCACTCTAATTATCCACACACATTTTAGATAATCAAACAATTAACTCCTTGCATTACTGTAAATATTAACTGCATCAACCTGTAAATACGGTAAATATTCCCTTCAGTTCCCGCTACATAAATTAATAACGTAAATCACAGTTAACACATAAATTTATAAAATTATTTATCAGTAAACTGCATTTAGGCTCCTACAACTGTATTACTGATAAATGGTTTGGTAATAAATACAGAAAATGTGTTGTTTAATTTTACTTCACAGTCACATTTTAATTGAATGGGTCTTAACAAATGCCAACGCATTCTCACTCCCGACTGGTCACATATTGACGCTTGGTCAAGGCCCATTGGCGTCGCTTGTTAACGCCCTGGGTAGGCTACCCCCCCTTTTGCATCATGTTTTAACTTTTAGGGCTCGGCGGTCAAGTTAGCAACGTTAGTAACAACAAATAAGCAACGTCCGGTTAGACTTTCCAAATAAAAGACTAAGATCTAAACACTGAGCTTTCAAGGTCAAAAACTCCTGAGAAATGGCCTGCTTCAATCATAGCTCATAGCCTACAAGGCTACACCAAAAAAAAGGTTTAGCCTACACTTTATAAGAAAGAGGATGAGAAATACAGAGTTTGCTGAGATGTTCAAATGATTATCCTTATATTCAAGCATCAATCGTATCAAAACGTCACACACACATTGACTGCACTTGAACATAAGCTACAACAACACAGCAACTGAAGCGGTATGTAGTAACATGGTGGCAGTTTGTGCTGTGGAAGTTGTTCATTTGAACACAGTGTAAATAAGTTACTGCCGCTTGTCCATAGGGGACGCATTGTTGCTTGCTTGTGTTGTTTATTGTTGGTCTTTGGATATGATTTGTGAGGCAGCGGTGGATTGATTGATTGATTGATTGATTGATTGATTGAACGGCGTGGATTCTTGGATGATTTGTGGTACATTGGGAAATGGTAACAAGTGGATCAAAATCAGATGTCAATGGCTCAGAGATGGATGAACAAAAGAGAGAAATTAAACTCACTTCTAAAGCTTTGGGGGATAAAATTGAAACACTACAAAAGGAACGTAGAAAAAAGGTTCACAAAATCAAAGGTCTAATACAGACAATAAAGGATCTCATGCAAAAGGATGATAATGCCCCACAAGTACGATCTTATCTTGAGAAAATGAGTCAAATGGTGGATGAAACTTTGTTACATGAGTCTGTGATTCCCATACTTCCTGAAGAGGAACAGGAAAAACAAAATGAATTGTTTATGAACATACTAAAATGCCACAATGGATTGATGGAGGATGCAAAAGGATGGCTTTCTGAAACAGGGAGACAAACAAGCCGTACTATTGCTCATGTTGTCACAAATGATGCTCCCATATTTGTATCACAAAAGGAATCAATGCACAAGTTGGACAGGACATCAAGAGACGGTACGATCACGTCCACTGTTTCAGCACAGGAATCATCAGTCGGCAACACTGGTGACAAGCAGCAGTGACCAAAGTCAAATAATTACGGTTTTGGAAAAACAAAATGAAATAACTGCTTTATTGGTTCAGCAACAATCTCGTTCATTTCTGCCTAAGAGACCTTCAGGTTTTTGACGGTGATCCTTTGCAATATCACACCTACAGGCATCTTTTTCTGCGAGGATGTTGTAACGCCATGGAAGAGTTGAACATGCCTACCACAATGCTGACCATAGTGAAAAGGTTGCCCTACAAACATAGGGACGGATGGAGAATTGTGGCTTGTGAGTTGCAGGAAAGGCGTGGCCGGACGATTCCAACTGTACTCCACATTCATCCAAAAGACAGAGAAATTAATTTAGTGCCAACCAAAGGAGAACCTGAGACAGCAGTGGGCAGTTCTCTGATCTCTGTTCAATCCAGTGGTCTCACTGGGGCCGGGGACCAAGACCGTACACTCTCCATAGTTCCAGTTCATAAGGTGCTCTTTACCTATGCCTTCCAACGAAGGTTGAGGTCGAGGGCAACTGGACTTCTTCTGAAACGTCCAGATGCTCCAGATTCTACTTTTCTTGGATAACCATGACCTGGATGAATCTTTACAGATGTGTAGGTTTGTCTAACGCTCTCTCTCTCACAGGGGGTTCAGAGGAGCCTGAAGATGATCTGCAGTCATGTCTGTCTTTACCTCACATATTTTTTGTTGTTAGCCTCTTTAGTGGTTGTAAGGTTGCTCCTGTTGACCTGAGTCAACCATTTTTTCCTCCTCCTCCGTGTCAGCTGGGAAGCCAAACATTCGTTCTCCTTTTTCTGACCGACAGCAGCAGCATCTCCACACAGCACAATAAACCTGCTGTGGACTATTGTAAGACAGTTCACAGACACAAACCACTTAACATGCTGTTTTCTGAGTTTACTGGAGATTTATAAATGAATACATGACGATCATTGATAGTCACCTGTCTGTTCTATCTAAGTCATAAAGATTACATTAGTCTTTAAGATCAATTAACCCTGGTACCGTGGGATCACTAAAAGGAATGTTAGAAAGGTAAATCTGATCTGAATTTTAAACGTGTTTTCAAGAGGAACACTTTCCAATGTAAGGTTGGCCAAAAAATGTCCACAAGGTAGGTGACTGTAGCTGTTATTGTCAAAAATATATGTCCTCCTTTTTAAAAAATAGAAATGTAACTACATACATGTGTCACCGTGCTGTGCAAATATTGTAAATCAACGCATTTATTCTATAAATGACCAGAAATCGCTTAAAATCGCCGTTTTGTTGTTTCTCTCGCTCATTTTGAATTGCCCGCCCAGGACCTCCGGGAACTACTGTATCTGCGGTCTCCATGAACCACGTGACGATGTAGCATTTTGGACCCCCGCTGACGCGACTCTCTCTTTAAAGGGCTCTGGAGCAGCCTACACAATATAAAGGCAATGTTGCTACAGACCGAGTGAATAATGGTAGGCCTACAGATATTCATAGTAATGTCTATGATAATAATCGTAATGATAATAATAACAATAGGACTAGTAACAATAAGTGTAGCAGAGGGTGACCCGCAACCACAGATCCAGACTCCACAGCTCCAGAGCCTGAAACACCTGCAGGAAGTGATAGGAGGAGAGAGGAGAGAGACGAGAAAGCACAAGACTACCTGAAAGGGAAGAAGTCCAGTTAGTAAGAGTCTTAAAGAAATAGCTTAATCGAAATCTGACCAAAATAATTTGAATAATGAAGATTCATTGTTGCAAAAAACACACTTTTCCTCAACATTAATCCTGAATCTTAATACAATTGTTATTTATTAGATATACATATTAAAGCAGTGAGTGCAGCGGTAAAGTCAGATCCTCTTTACGCTGGGGGGAAAAGGGTAGTTCGCCCGAAAGTTGGCCGCTGTATTTAAACCCCATGCAGGTTAGGGAGCTCGATTTAGGTGTGAAGGTGACTCCGACCAGAGAAAACAAAGGTTTTAAAGAGTATTGCAGGGCAGGTTCATGAGGTGTGTAACAATTTGATTTAAAGGTATATAGTCAATTGATTCTGTGTTTAAATGGTAGACTATGTTTTCTTGTCATTTAATTCAATTTGTGTAAATTACTTGAATTTAAACTGGAGGATTGGTGTATTTTGTGTAGGTTTCTCTTATAAATAGGTTATTTTGACAGTGATAATGAGGTGCTGCTAGTATTGCTGTTGTATACAGAAAGGAAATGCAATGCTTATATCAGTGAATGTGTTTATTTTTATACATATTGTAGAATAATGTTTATAGTTTATTTTATTATCTCTACTGAAATGTCACAGGACATTTAAACTGACTGTAACAGAGGTTGGTGAACTTGTGTTCGTGTAGGTGGTTCTGCAGAAATACAACAAATATAAATAATAAGGTTTAAGTCACATGCATAACAGAATATTCCCCATCCTGTACATGGTTTTTTCCTCAGGTTAAGAGTATTCATAACAGAACAAAGTAAGTACTTTAGTAATTGACTACTCAAAGGTTATAACAAGAAGCCACCATAGTAAAAAAAACACCAATAATATTTAAGAACACTAGTCATCCATAAGCAGTAAGGTATGACCGCTTATACAGACAGAGAATCCGTTCACATCAGGAAACATAATCAAAGTCCACCACCTAGTGGTAAACAGGGGCATTAAAAGGCGCGTCTATTTTACCTAAACCAGAGGCTATAATGTACATTATGTACATGTTGTGTTATGACAGGTTGTAATATGGACTTTTAAAAAATGATTATATTAGTATTAATATCGTTAGCATTGTCTGTGAAGGTTTTCAGTTATCCAAAGAAGGTTAAAGACAAGACCTTAACATACAGTAAATCAATAAAAACAAGTAACTCGTGGTCATTTCCTGTTTATACAATGAGTAATAGAGCTAAAACAATCAAATCACACAGGTGATTTTCAGAGCTTCCAGCTGAACGACGGCTGCTAATGGTCAGTTTGTTTTGTTTTTCAGTTACAATCTGTGGAAAGATTTAAGCTCTTGGACATTTTAAGTTGGCTGCTGGAATTTGTTAACAGAATTTGTTCAAGTTTAAGGCCTACAACGGCCTAACAAACGTAAATATGGGTAGTAACAAACTTTATAATCAACCTATAGGCCTACAGACGTTTGTCTGGTTTTGAATTAAATGCTGATGGAATCACTTCCTGTCCATCAGATAGACATCTAGTGTAGGAACGTTTGCCTGAGGGCACGTAGTCCAGTAATAGGAAGTCAAAAGTTATTAAATAGTGGTCAGATAAAGTGGGATTCTGTGTAAAAAAAAACTACTAAATGTTCAATTTCAATGCCAAAACTAGGTTGAGGAGGGTGTGGTTTAAACAGTGACTGGCTTTATGAACACTGACTGAAGCCACCTGAATCTAATAGGGCGTTAAATGCAGCACTAAAGCTATGTCATTGTCAACAAACTCATTTCATGTTGTCATTATGAGTATTGTTCTGGATGCACGGTATATAGCTAATGTAAGTCTCTGGATAATGTTATATAGAAGGGATCATATTTAGACTCATCAGTCTAACTGAGTTAATAAATCAAGTGAGAGGTCAGATTATTATCATATACTTCACCCAGAGGTTCTCTCGTGCTTCTCTCACACTGTTGAGTCAAAATTGAAATATCCACTAGACTATTAAAGAAATGTCACCAAAATGAGAGAGAAGAAGCTATCTCAACAAAAACAGAGTGAAAAGTAAACAATGTGATGAGATAACTTAAAAAAGAGGGACCTGATAAAAGTATCAGATCAAATCCTAATATTTATTTCCAAATGCTCAGCAGCTAAAACCAAAAAGGAAAAATACGGTAAATAATCAGTTGACTTGTTAAACCAGCAGACCCCAGATCTGGGTCTTGGATTAAAATCTGTAACGTGGCCTTTATACAATAATGTAATTTGTACCTCAACCATGTAGTGCCATCAAACATCCACAAAAGCTTGAGCTGTAGTATAAGATAAACCTTTGTTAGTCCCCCGTACAGGGGAAATTTAGATTAACGGTTGATTCTGTTTTTATTTGGTTAAAATCACTACCAGTCTGAATAAACTGGTGATAAATTGACCCCATCTATCTCTACCAGCCTATCCACACAAAGTTGTTTGGTCTGTTTCAATTTGTGCAAATTTTGTGGAATGTTTAGTGTCAAAGAAAAATCATCAACGAATATTCCTCATAGCTTTTTTCATTTCATCCCCGGTGTGAAAAAGGTCTTTAGGCAGCTCAACGTGGGACGGGACTGAAATTAAACAAATGTTTTTATTATTGGAGTTGACTTTTTATTTTATTAAAGTAGGTCTATTTAAGTGGAACCTCCACACTGATACTCTGATTGTTGTTCATCAGAGGTTATTAAAATCTAAATATTTCCAACATACAATTTAATTTCTTACTCTCATTATTGACTGTTGCAGTTTCTCTAAGTGATTTGGTTGTTTTAGTCTCCTTCCTCAACAGAGTGTCGCCCTCTAGTGTCTAAACACACACACTGTCTTATTCTGTGTAGTTTGACTGAGAGCAGAGCTCAGAGGTAAAATGCTGTCTGTCACAGATCTGAGTTATTTCCTGCTCTGGGATCAGATTTTAGCCTTTTATTTATTTATAAGATGTCATTAACTTGTGAAGGCTCATGATAATTAGCGCCAGAAAAACAATGAAAATACGACAATGTGTGTAACTTTTTAACTAACATAATTATTACTTATTCTGAATGAGATTTATCCTTGTAAATAATTTTGGAACATTTTAATCTAAGAGTTTTTGTAAAAGTACTGGTGAATCTATTGAACATGTGTTTTTAAAGATGTAGATGTTAAACAACCTGTTGGGCAAATGGGAAGTACTATATCACCGGAAGTGAGAAGGACTTAGGTTTATTCAAGGTGGGAGCGGATTGGTTGGTGGACGAGAGATGGCTGAGGGCGTGTGTGCTTATTGCGAATTCAAGTTATGTGGAAACAATCGGAAAAGTGATTTCCCGACAGAGAAAACTAATTTAACGGCCGCCTGAAGTCGGAACAACAACTCGGAAAAGCAGAGAACATTTTAGCACTTTTTCAGCACACTTTGACGACAATGTTAATGAAAGTTCAGCGTTCATGTTGTTTCCACTTTACCATGTAAAAGCACATGAACCCATCGAGAGCGACTTCTACCCGTACCAGAGTGGGTTCCGTAGAGGTCGGAATACAATGGATTCAGTACTGTGCCTAGAATCAGACATCAGGAAAGCACAGACCAACAAAGAAATACTGATAGCTGTATTTTTTGACGTTGAAAAAGCATATGATATGCTCTGGAAAGAAGGGTTACTTATTAAGTTGAAGTCATTGGGTATTGGTGGTAGAACATATAATTGGGTTATGAACTTTCTATTTGACAGGGAAATACAAGTAAGAGTTGGCACAGAATACTCCAGTGTATATAAGGTGGAAAATGGAACTCCGCAAGGTAGTGTGTGCAGCCCATTGCTATTCAACATAATGATAAATGACATCTTCTCTCAGGTTGAACAAAGCGTAGGGAAATCTTTGTACGCAGACGACGGGGCTCTGTGGGTAAGAGGCCGCAATGTGTTGCACGTCAGTAAGAAAATGCAAGCTGCAATAGCTGCTGTGGAAAAATGGGCAAATAAATGGGGATTTAAGTTATCTGTTGCAAAAACACAGGTGATCTGTTTCTCAAGGCGGCATAAAGTCACGCCTATTTCCATGAAGTTATATGAACAACCACTTAAGCAAGTCAAAACAATTAAATTTCTTGGGGTTTGGTTTGATGAGAAGCTCACCTGGAATACTCATTTAGATAAAGTTAAGAACAAGTGTAAAAAGGTCATCAATATACTTCGTTGTCTGTCAGGACAAGAGTGGGGAGCAAGCAGAGCAGCTCTACAAAATATATACTGGGCACTCATGAGATCCGTTTTTGACTATGGATGTGTAGCGTACATGTCAGCAGCAGAATCAAACCTTAAGAAGTTGGATGTATTACAAGCTCAGGCCTTGAGAATTTGCAGTGGATCAGTCAGAACATCTCCGGTGTCAGCAATGCAGGTGGAAATGGGAGAAATGCCGTTAAGAATCAGGCGAGTAAAGTTAATGTTGGCATACTGGGTTAATCTCCAGGGGCAATGTGACTCTCATCCTGCCAAGAGTCTCTTAATAGATTGCTGGGAACACAATGAGACAAATTTCACAAGTTTTGGGTGGATTGGCAAAGGCAGAAGTCATAGGATTACGACAATTAGACTACAGCCCTACAGTGTCACAGTCTTCCATTCCTCCCTGGTTATTCCCAACACCAATTGTAGATCTAAACATACAGCAGGAGTTGAAGGATATGTCAAAGAAACTTCCAGCATGCAGTATAGTACAGAATTACTTTGATTTACATTTTTCAGACTCCATGTTTATATTCACAGATGGCTCCAAAGATCCTGATACAGGGCGTGCAGGTGCAGCAGTCTTTTTCCCAGCAAGTGAGTCATATATCAAGAAAAGAATATCAGATCATGTCTCAGTGTATACCACAGAGTTGACTGCAATAGTACTGGCCCTGCAGTGGATAGAAGAGAGGGAAACAAATAATACTGTCATTGCATCTGATAGCTTGTCTGCTCTAATGAGTATTAAATCTGGCAAATCATCATTTAGATCCAATATTCTCAATGACATATTCCTTATATTGTACAGGATGGAGCTAAAAGGATTATCCACATGCTTCCTTTGGGTTCCTGCTCATGTTGGTGTGGAGGGAAATGAGCAGGTGGATATTCTGGCCAAAGGAACACTCAAAATCAAACATGTAGACCTAAAAACCCCATTAACTAAAGATGAAGCTAAGACATTTATCAGGACCTATGCACAGTCAGTTTGGCAGGAGCATTGGGACAATAGTGAAACTGGAAGGCACCTATATAATGTCCAGAGACAGGTTGGTGCCGGAAGGATGGTGGGCTGGAAACGTAGGGAAGAAAATATAATCACTCGTCTGAGAATAGGACATACAGGTCTCAACCTTTCATTATATGAAATAGGTAAGCACCCAACTGGGAAATGTATATATTGTAACCAACTAGAAACGGTTGAACATGTTCTCCTTCAGTGTAAGAGATACACTATCAAGAGGAAACGCCTCTTTCAGTCATTACGGAAGGCAAAACATCATGATATCTCATTGACAGGTCTCTTGGGGAAAACAGCAGGCCAGATATATTGTCATATAATGAAGTTTCTTAAAGAAACTGAGTTAGAATAAAGAATTTAATTTATGTTTGTTTTTTGTTTTTTTTTTTTGTTTTTGTTTATTTCATTTATTTCCTGCTTAATCTCTCGTTCCACACTCCAGTCCAGCTTGTGGCGGTAATGCACCGTTAAACTGGTTTGCCAACCGCCATTAAACCCTGAAGAAGAAGAAGAAGAAGAGCACGCAGATCCTCCCCATTCTACCAGTCGGGGGTTGGAATAACACTGCACTGAGTAAGAGGATCGGACCGGGACACCTAAAATCACCACCCCCTCTATCGATAACGATCATTGAGGGGCACAAGGGCGGAACTCTGGATATTGGGGCAGGTAGAACTAGTTGGAAGGCACGCGTTAAATCTCCATTAGTGGCATTACAGTGAAGCTAAAGTCATGTTTAATGTTAAAATGGCTTCGACAACTAACTTCATGAAGTTTCTTCCTCTTGTGTGCCTCCTCGCTCGGTCAGGACAAACGTTTGGGGATGAACAAGGTAAGAAAACTTCTTAAAGCTGTAACGTTACTCATTTCACATTGATAGCGTTTGCCTTTTCTCTTTTTGGTCAGTTTCATCGCCACGAGCACAAACCTGAAAACTCTGTTGGTAAACATGGCGGTCGGGACGGTGTTACTTTGTGTAGCCTAACTTATCCCATAGACAGTAAGCCTATGAGGTTAACAGCAGCTTACAGTTGTAGTGTAGCCACAGAGTTTCTGTATAACAGCACCGTGCAGGGAAGGTGACAGAAGTGGTTAATATGCTCTGAGGGACGTTACAGCGCAGAAGTCGCGACAGCAGATGCACGTTAGACTAAGAAACTTACGGGAATCAATGACAGGTAGACGGAGGGTGTGTCTCAGGTATATCATCCACGCACTGCGTAAAAACGTTTCCATGACAACACCAGCTTGCTCTTGTTAAATTTATTAAGAGAAAGGTTTATTACTATTCACATGACTGTTACTCGGAAGTACTGAGAGTAGCGCCAGAGAAGGCGAACTTTTAAGCTCCCGTCTGTTATTCTACAGCTGGTCTACAAGGCGAACACGGTAATAATTATTAAGTTAATTATTAAGCACTGTTTAATGTTGTTTACAGGAAAATGTGAGACACATTGTATCGGTCTGTATAAGAAATAAGAGACAGAGTATATAAACGTTGTTGTGGTGGTGCTTTGTGCTTGAAACGGTTTTGTTTATCCTCTAGTTTTCACGGTGTTCTATGATTCTTCAGAGGAGAATAAATGTGAACGTGGACATCAGTAAGAGGCGTTGACTCTGTTTATGACCAGTGTAGCTAAAACAGGAGCAGTATCAGTATCTTGGCCAATGACACTTCAACATGCAGACCACAAAAGACCAGCGGAGCAGGGGATCCCACCACCAACCTTCCGCTCTACCCCGAGCCACAGTTGCCCACTTCAGCCACTTCAATGCTTTCGTAATGAAGGTCTATCTGAAGGGCTGTCTGGTTTACATGTACTACATGTGATGATGATGATGATGATCTGCAGCTACTGTGTGAGCTGGAAAACACATGTAGCTGCAATACGGTCATTCTCTTGACACTTATGGATACTTTACTGTTGATTATTAACTTCTGAAGTAACTGTTAGCAGCTATCAGTCTTCTTTTTGAGGATTTTTGCATTTTTCTAACTTGTGATATTAAAGTTAATATTACACACTAAAATCGGAAAATGTTGCATATTGTAAGATTTTGTCAGTGCTGAGCTACCAGTAAATATTATTAGAATACATCCAAATTTTGTCAGTTTAGTTCTTGTCACATTATTAACACATTTAGGGGGTGGGAAGATTAAACTTTATTTTTGAGTGGCACCCCTGAGGCTACCCCCCTTTAGACCGTCAGACACAGAGCCCGCCTGGGACTGTAGCCAATGAGAGGCTGTGCAAGGATGCCCCTGAGACAGTACAGCACATAACAGCAGGGTGTAAGATGCAGGCAGGAAGTGCGTACTTGCAACGCCATAACCAGGTAGCTGGCATAGTGTACAGGAACATCTGCCATGAGTATGGGCTGGAAGTCAAGGTCAAAATGGAAGACACCTCCTAAAGTAGTTGAGAATGACCGAGCTAAGATCCTGTGGGACTTCAAGATCCAGACTGACAAACTGGTGATGGCTGACCAACCAGACATCGTGTTGATCGACAAACAGCAGAAGAAGGCTGCAGTGACAGATGTGGCGATCCCAAGAGACAGCAACATCAAGAAGAAGGAACATGAGAAGCTTGAGAAATACCAAGGGCTGAAAGAGGAGCTAGAAAACATGTAGAAAGTAAGAGCAACAGTGGTGCCAGTGGTGATCGGAGCGCCGGGGGCCGTGACCCCCAAACTGGGAGAGTGGCTACAGCAGATTCCAGGTAAAACATCAGAGGTCTCTGTCCAGAAGAGTGCAGCCCAAGGAACAGCTAAGATACTGAGCAGAACCCTCAAACTGCCAGGCCTCTGGTAGAGGACCCGAGCTTGAGGAGTTATTTATTTAGTTTTATATTATTTACTGAATATTACTAAACCACATACATGTAAGGAGGAAAACATGAGGAAAACCTTTAAAAAGTTGAAACTCACTGCGCAGAAGAGCTGCCAGCAATAAAGCAAGCCTTGCTGGACCTCGGCTAGTAGTCTAAGTGGTCCACGCGCATTAACAAAGTCAGCAGCGCTGTGGCCATGATGATCAGGTGAACACCGTGCCTTTGCAAAGATGAAACTTTCCCTCTTTCAAATAACAGGGACAGAGAAGGTGGTCAGTGCTTTAAGGGACTCAGTTAGAAATTAAGGAGGCCACATGCCATAGTCTTATTTGCTTTTTATCTTTTGTGTTTTGTTGTTCCACTGCCCAGATGTAAGCATACTGCCTCAAAGGCTTAATGGGTTTCACAAGATGACGTTCTCAGTGTTTGCACTGATTAAAATAAAATAAAAATTAAAGAATTATGTTTTTGCCGGTCTTAAGGACCTCGTAAAATGTCAGTATTCTTCAGCCAAAAATTGTACATTTAATGCCATTGAAATAATGTATTTGCTATATGTTGAATAAATTCTGTTTCAGTCTTATACAGCATCTCACCTCTCTCACCTCCTAAAACAGTGCGCACACTGTAGGCTATACAGCACTGTGGTAAATTAGTCTTTAGACCAAATAGTTTACATTATGAAATTTCTGATTTGAGTATATTGTCAGAACTGTAAAGAATTAGAAAAGAAGGACATGCAGGTTTAACTCTGAGCTGAACAAAACAAATGTCTCTATTTTTAAATTGTCTTTTTATTGCCACATGATTTTACTTTTTTTTCAAATAGGTATGTGTGGTTGTGAAATAATATAACAAGCATTAAATACATCTGTATAAATAACCTGGATAATTGTTGGCATATAAATAACAACAGTTAACATAACAAGCGGGAAGCTTCCGGTCTACAATATGAAGCCGATGCGGAAGTCCCTGAAACCTGCATTCTGTTGAAAATCCAACAGGGGGCGACTCTTCTGGTTGCAAAAAGAAGTCCTGCTCCATTAGAAATAATGTGAAAATGTTTTTACTTCTCAGCTGAATTATTACCTCAGTAAACACTTTCCTGATGAGTTTATGGTCTCAGTCGCTAGTTTCAAGTCTTCTTCAAGACAACATGATGTTCATTTAGTAAATTATGGTCCCATTTATTTTAAAATGGACCACAAAGCAGAGTATGTTTCAGGGCGGGATTATCTATGATTGACAGGCCATTACCATAGCGACCTGTCAATCAGGCTGGAGCCGACTTTTCACATCGGCGCCGCCAAGTAGCGCTACAGACCGTACAGGAGCGAACTGATGCCCTGATCCAGGTCTGGGAGGAGGACGCCCAGGACACCATCCGCTGTCTCATCAGGAGCATGTCCAGATGTTGTCAGGAGTGCATACAGGCACACAGGGTCCAAACACACATTTGCTGTGATGAAAGTTACGCAAGTTGGGTCAGCATGTGATTAAAATGTTTTACTTAGTTTTTCTGTGTGATTTTGAATCCAGCCCTCAGTCAGCTTGTGTTTTTCGTTTCCAATGACCTTTATTATATAATTTTGTTTTTAATGAATGTGCAGTAAAGATTATTTGAGCGTTCCATTATTGAGTAGTTATGATCTTTAGATACTTGGTTCATACTGAGCCCTCAGTCTGAAACCAAAACAACTCTAATAAAGTGTCTGTGTCATGTGACTCATCAGGTTTCTCATGTCAGCTTAAATATTCTTAAATGACGCCAACATGAAAAATCTCCATAAATAATGTGCCGACTAACTAACGTGTTTATAAACTGGTGTTTCAGAGTCATTGAGGTGACATGTAAATGTGTTATCTGATGTTCTGTCTGAACCTGATTGATCTCTATTTGAACAGAATGACTAAAATAAACTTCTTCTTTCAGGGTCGGGTGACGTCAGAGTGGTTGTGAAAGAAGGGAGTGACGCCATTTTACCCTGTTCACTCAGCAACAAGGAGAACGCTGAGTCAAAGCTCTTTGACTGGAAGAAAGATGGTCCGAAGGAGATTTTCTTTTATGATGGAGGCCTTCATTACAACAACGGCCGTCCAGGTCAAGATCAGCAGTTCAAAGGTCGCGTCTCACATTTTCAAGATGAGCTGAAGTACGGAAACGCCTCCATCATCATCAGAAATACGACGGTGGCCGACAGCGGAGACTACACCTGTGATTTTCAACTTCTTCAGCCAAGACAGATATTCAACATTAAGCTTGTTGTTGGTGGTGAGTGTTTTTATTTGTTCAGCAAGATCTCCAGCTGTTCTTTCAGGTTTGGTTTGACTCCAGCTGTTCTTCCTCGTCTGTTCAGTCTTCTGTTTAAACCACTGACAACGAGGAACAACTTTAATTACATATCAGCAATTTAATATGTGAGAATCACATACAGTAGTACAGTAGTTAAACTGGCAATAACTATTTTAACAATAAAAATTTTACAATGCAAATCTTCAAAATCTGAACTTAACTAAGATGTTGATAAAATATATGAACACCTGCTGTGTATTCATTAATACAGCTGCACAGTTTTTGATTCATTTCTACTCCGTAGAAAGAAGTTTGCAATTTATAATAAATTAGATTTATTCATTTAGCTGAGGCTTTTATGCAAAGCGACTTATAATCGTTATAAATGTCAGAGGTCGCACACCTCTGGAGCAACGATGGTGTAAGTGTCTTTTTCAATGTCACAGTGGTAATCAAAGCCTGCACTCTCACACCAAAGCCATGTGACTTAAGCCTAGTTCACACTACACAATATTTAGCCTGATTTGCCATTTTGTTTGCATAAAAATGAAATAATAGCAAATACCTTTTGTAAAAATATGAAAATCATCTAAGTGTGCATTATCAAGATTTTATATTTTATATAGGTAATACAATGATAATTACATGAAAACAATAAGTCTTTAGAACACAGTGATAGTAACTGCAATGAGCCCCGAGAGAGAGAGAGATGTTTTAAATGTCACCATATTCTAACACATCTGTTAAGTTCTGTGTGTGTAGCATGAAAGAACTACAAACTTTCATTCCGTTGTTAGCCTATACAACAGTTTTGTGTTGTATAGGCTAATGCTAAATAAACTACCCTCCTTGATATTTGACTAAATGTCGAGAATATTGCCAACAAGTAAGAAAAGAGGATGTCTGCTTCATCTTAAAAGAGCTGGATCCATCCATACCAGTGCAATGATGAGCTAGTACTTAGATTTTACTCTGTCATGTAGCCTACAATGCCTTTTTCTTTCACACCAGTTGTTGTTGTAACCAGCTACAACCAGTAACATGTAAGTTGTCCTGTTGCCTGATTGCAAGATCATCTGTGTCTCCACATCACGTTGGGTTTGGGCATGCAGCGACTGACATCAGTGCCGTGGTGTCTGTTCAGTTTGCATCGTATTTGATTAGTTAATTTATCATTTTGCTTTTAAACTCATTTCTTTCGTGCCTTTGGTTTTAATCATGGTTGACCTGCATCGTGTTATTGTTCATTAACATGGAGTGGACTGCTGTGCTTTACTGGTGGTGTGGTGGTCAATGTCAGAGACTTTCTGCTAAAACATAACAACCCTCAGCCATTTCACTGCTATACAGCGAAGAGTGATGGGTGGTGCTCCTGTAGATATCATATTTGTCGGTGGCTGCGCTGGCTCTGCAGATGGAAATAAATAATTAGTGACAAGGTCATAAAATATCAAAATGTTCTTAAATATTCACCACAATTCAGCAACACCTGAATATTATGTGTCCCTTTTACATAAATAATTTCCAGAATAAATTAATGCAGAAAAGGCAGAAACTGGTGCAGAAAAACACCAGAATGCAGGAAATTAAGTGTTTAACACCCACAATGTTCGGGGGGAGTACCCCCAAACACCCCTGTTCATTCTGTCGCAGTTTGGTTTTTTATATTATTATAATTAGACACATGACATTACAATTTAGCTACATCAGAATGAGACAGTTAATAGTGTTGTTCAATTGTGTCAATAATTATGTGAAGATATGAAGTTTTATGGACTGGGCTAAGCCCCCAATGTTTCAAGATCCTAGAAACGCCCCTGCTGCAGAGGACAACACATATGGACTGATTAAAGAGTTTTCAGGGACCACAAATATTTCCTAGCCCATAATGATGCTAATACATCGATTTACATTCCATAGAGCCGTGCTCTTGGGTCTGTGTGCTGATCTGGGTCCAGTATTAGACAGACCAACCCGAAAGAACTACGCCACAAATACAAGTAGCGTAGGCTATAATAGGGCTGCGCAATATAACGATATAGATCATTTGATGTTTAAAAAACATCTATAATTATGCTCTATCGTTTAGTTTGTTGTGTCGCAAATTCCACACTTTACTGCAATATTTCCGCAAGGGGACGGTGGTGAAGTTGGATATTTGATGTCTACCGAACATCCAACGTAAAAGTATTATGCAGCTTGAAACTAACTTCACCACGGTTCGTTCTTCCACACTTGCCCGTGTTGCAGGGAAGAAATTTGCATTGAGAATAAACAAATGTGGAGGAGAGTGAAGTTTACACAGAACTGGGTTATACTGAACAGGAGGACTCATGGTGCGTTCGAGACCGGTCGGGACTGGGAAATTTCCCAGTTCTGAGTTGCCTGGAATGCAGCATCAGACCATCCAAGCAGAAACCAGGAGCTCACAGCAAAGAGAGACGTCTGTTTTATGGACGGGCCACACAACACTATCCATCATTACTTTGTGTTGAAAAGCGGTGGGGACTTAAGGGCTCAGATTAGGAGCGGGATGATACATTTGGGTCACAAGACGTGACGATGCACGAGAACAAGATGAGAAGATTTGTAGCACTATTTTGAAGAAATGTTTGAAGTTGAAATATATGAGCGGGGGTCTGAGGCTCCTCCACTACATGATTTTGAGCATTAAACTCGTAATGTCCTGCTTTCTGGAGACATTTTCTGCTCCCAATTTTTTATATGAAGGGAAACTATATTTAAATTGCATTGCATGTTTTCTTATTGTGCAAATAAACCTTTGTCAAAGTGTTTTCATTTGTTAGTTAACATTTCTTGGTGCAAACAATTTTTCAGAACATTTTTAACAAATGCTTTCAAAAAGTGACGGGGAAAAAATCAGCCATTTCAAAATGTGGAGGGGACATGTCCCCCAGCATCAGTGTAAATGACCCCTATGGGTGTGTGTTTGATATCATCAACAATATATAATGTTTACCTTTCTGCCTAAAGCTCCATTTGGGTCTTCGAATTTGCTGCATTTTCTTTAGTTTGTGAAACAGTATGTGCTCACTAGCACCTTCTCGGTTGTTGTTGCTGTGATCTACAGTAAGCAGGCGCATTCATATGCAGTAATATTGATGAGGTGCTTTGCATTGACCATTTATGGCTGAATGTGGGCGTGTAGAGGGCTGGATATGAGGCTAATCCATGTGACGGTTTTATAGATCTGAATCTGGATTCTATGCACTATTTTATAAATGAGGGTTGGCTGACTCCAGTTTTGGAAAAGTAATTAGTCTAGGGGTTCACATACTTTTTCCACCCTGCACTGTGAATGTTTACACCGTGTGTTTAATAAAAAGTGTTTGTGTGTTATTAGTTTAAGCAGACTGTGTTTGTCTATTGTTTTGACTTAGATGAAGATCGGATCACATTTTATGACCAATTTATGCAGAAATAGGAAGGTCTCCTACAGATGAGGAACATTATTGTTGGTGTTAATCGTGTCAACTAATGATGAGGGAATGTCACACAAACTGCTCTCATAGTTGCAGATACATTTTTACAGATCTCAGCGGCACACATTGGACAAATGCGTAAAAGGGAAGTCACAAATCTATCGTGACTCACAAATTGACAGGAAGCAATCCACAAATGTGTACAAATGGATCCACAAATGCCTAAATATCACTATATGTGAAGTTAAAATATGTGTTTACTTTATACACACTGTATTTTTGATTGTGGATATGATTTTACACAAAGTGTAAAAATGCATATTTGCGGATCATAGTACACATTTGTGCATTGTCTTGTGTGAGTTACAAATAAATTCCAATAAAAACTTTCATAACCATGCAGCTCTCTCATTAAATACTTGGCCTCTGCTCATGTTTCCCCCTTTCCATTTTAGATGTTGACAAAGGACTCAATTACTAGTCTCTATTACATTCCTTGTTCAATGTCACTCATGCACTTTACCTGAATTAATGTTCTAATTTGTGTTTCAGACCTAACTTTAAGAGACCGATCAGCAGATATAATTGGTGAGTGATGTCACTGATCTCTACATCTGTAATGTGTGCTACAACTCTCTGGGCTTCAGGATCATTGAAACCTTTTATACCTTCATGTTGACTAATCGTCACTGAAAACACCATTTATAAATCATCACTAGAGATGGACAGCATGTCCTATGCAGAAGTCGAACTCCTCTTGACACTAAATATCAATACATCTCATTATGAGATATATATATTATTAAATATTAGATCTACAGCAATGTATCTGACAAAATACATGGTTTAAATATTCTGGTTTTGATGTTACTGATCTCTACATTTTTAAGACACAGACACACAAAGTTCACTCTGAGATACTTGATGTGGTTCTTTAGTCCAGCAGCTCAGCTTCTACAGACTATTTCACTGATTCAAACAGAAACATTAAAATGGCTCCAAGTTTATTTCCTGTTAAACGTACACTTAGACCCGTGCTGTGTTCTTAGAGGCACCTGCAGTGAAACTACCTGTAGCCAGCAGCAGCACTGTTTGACTGATCAGTTGAAGCTGATGTAACATCTGAAGATGTTTTGTTGTCTTGGTTCATTATGTTAAAAAGACACTGTTTGTATTAAAGTGATGTTCTGTCAAACATCTTGAATATCACCCAGCTCTAAGGTCACTAAGTTGTAGCACAGACATTGCAGATGTAGAGATCAGTGACGTCAAAATAAAGACTCCCCACTAAAACACACTTTTGAAACCCTGTATTTTATATTTGAATTTAAAGCAACATTTTCACCTGAACAATCTGTTGCAACGCTGCTATAAATTCCACCTTTTCCTCCAAGTTTATGTTCAGTTTTTGTTGACTTTGAGATATGTGTCTTTATTTAGTTAAAGGTGGTGTTGTATTACAATAAATTATACTAAAAGGTGTTTCTTTTATTTCTTTTTTTGACAAACATGAGTGGTCAGAATAATAGAAACACCTCTGAATATAATGCAGTCCAAAACAACACAATGACTAATCATCATTAAAGAAAACTTAATGGCAGAACAGTTGTGTTGGATTGCATCAGACTGTACAGGTGGACCTAATAAAGTGGCTACTCACACAGTTAGGGGTGCACATGCTTTTAAAGACCCTGTTTCATATTTTATAACACATGTTTATTTTACTTTAGTGTGACAACAGATTTCATGCGACGTCATTTCAAGATAATTTTTTCAGCTCAACAAATGTAAAAATTGAGTTTGTCCAAACGTCTTCACTGTATCTGAGCTTCTGTCATGATATGAGTCAGAAACAGTGTTTGCAGCTGTAAATAGTTTCCAGACTTTTGGTAGAAGTTAGAAATGTTTGAAATATCATGTCCTATCTGTGTTTTTCTGTTAAACACACTTTAATCCTCATTTACAAGCAGAGAAGAGACGAACAAGAAACATCACAGTGTTACATTTATAATCCTGTTATTGTCCTTTTATAGCTGATGTGTCTGTTTACTGTGTTCACAGGAGCATCTCCAGAGCCGTATGTCAAGATACTTAATCAAACGCAGGACGTGGCCCTGCTGCAGTGTGAAGTTCGAGGTGCTTCTCCAAAACCTACAGTAGAGTGGCAGGACAGTGCTGGAAACAAACTTCCTGCTGAGGAGCCACAGGTCTCAGAAAGAGGAGGCAGCTTCTACATCATCCTCCAAACTACTGTGATGAAGACCGACAACTATCGCTGTGTAGCCACACAGGAGGAGATCAAACATCAGATTCATACTGAGACCTACCTCTATATCGGCGGTGAGATTCTTCCTAGTGGTATTTCCGTAGTTGTGTTATTAGTTTTCAAACATGTTTAAGTGTCTTCAGACTGAACTCAAAGCAGGTTGTGATGAAGACGTCTGCAGAAGTGTAAAAAGTTTCAAACTGAGTGAAAGCTTCACTCTTATACTGAGACTCTGAGACTTCATGAATCTACAGAGATGAGAGGAAGAATGAGAGGGTCTGCAGGGAAATAACAGAAAGAAACTCTGAGATCAGTCTGATCAAACACAGGAACACAAGAATTTAGTAAACTTCACTCACAAACCCAGTAACAGATTTATAAATGGCTCCTGTCAGTGGGTGGGACATATTAAGCAGCACGTGAACATTGTGTCCTCATAGTTTATGTTAGAAGCAGGAAAAAGAAGCTGCTGAAAAAGTGGGTGCTGGTCCTGATAGAAATGTGTCAGAACACAGAGAGGAGCCCAGGCCTCGACTGGTCAGGGCTGTTTTGGCGGCTAAAGGGAGACCTACATAATGACCAGCAGGTGGTAATAATGTTATGGCTGATTGGTTTATAATTAGTATCGATTGCAGAAAGAAAGATAAATAAATAAAGAATAATAAATATTTGTTGATATCTATTAGATCTACAGCCATCTATCTGACATGATAGATGAGGAGAAATCTGTGGTGCAACACTGTTGGATCACTAGAAGCTGATGAAGCATCTGAAGATGTTCTGTTGGCTTGGTTCATTATGATAAAGGACTGTATGTATTAAAGTGATGTTGTTCTGTCAAACATCTTGAATATCACCCAGCTCTAAGGTGACTAAATTGTAGCACAGACATTGCAGATGTAGAGATCAGAAACATTAAAATCAAGACTCTCCACTAGTTTCTCCTGGTGTGTCTTTAAGGTCGGACTCTGTGGGTCACGATGTAAACGGCACATCAGCCTTTTAAACTGTTGGTGAAACTGTGTTCAGTCAGACTTTAGCACTGCAGTAACTGCAGCACGCTACAGATCACAACACAGAAATCAGCCAGCTGCTTAGTCTGTAATCTCACTCCCTGCAGTTACACTGAAAGATGCTTTTGTTGTAATTACAAGATACATTTTCTGTGATTTTAGCTTGATTAATGTTAAAATCAAATATAAAATATATATCATGATATTGTGTAGGGTTGCAACTAATAATTATTTTTATTTTTGATTAATCTGTTGTTGTTTTTTTATTATTTGAATTTTTTGTTTATAAAATGTCCCAAAAATAGTAAAAAGAAAAGATTCCACTGTGTATTCGAGCAGGACGACATCAGCCAAGATCAAACCTAATCACTTTACCAGGTGAAATTCATCCCAGTGATCTTTTCTGAAAATAGTTTTAGATGTTTACATGGTGTTATTTTAATGTTCATAGACTTTAGCAGCATGGCCGCCTCAGTAGTAGTTCTGTGTAGGTAATAACCAGTGTGCTGTACATGAGATACAGTTTACATTCTGAGTGTGACTCTAGGTTTTGTTATGTGTTTCAGAGAAACTGTTTGAGGACACGTGCAGCAGAGGGGACGTCACAGGATGGTTTGGTGGAATCGTTTTAGGAGCTGTAATTCTTGCTGCAGTTCTAGCTTCACTTGTAGCTACAAAGCGCATCACAGTACGCTGTAATAAAGGTGAGCAACATATTCATCATGTGCAGACATCAACATAACAGATACTTAACAGAGACCGTCTCTCGTCACAAGGTTATCGTTTTCTCAGATATATTATGTTGGCCTTTATTTGACAGGAGCAACTGAAGAGAGAGAGGAAACCTGGGAGAGAGACATGATGACATTGAGCAGAGCATCTGAACCTGTGTAATCCAACCTTAGCGCTCCACCAGGTGAGCTACTGAGGCGCCCGTTAAGTTCGTATTTACATTTATGAAAAAGAAAATCCACTGAGCCTTTATTTATTTGTGAGGCCTCTGGTTCTCATTCTGATTGATAAAAATAAATATAACAAGTTATAAATACATAACTGTCCTTTAAATGGATGGTTTGATTTCACAAATGTGCAAGGAGACATCTGGGTAATTTTAGACTGAATTTTGTGTACAGGGTACTAAGAGTCAAAAACAAAGGGGAATAATGGGAAAACATATTTGATGGTCAGAATGGTTTTATCACTGCAATATTGTGATACAAATTTGGTAATATGGTGACATTAATGAGGTAATATGGGTTGATGTTGTCCCACTATTATCGGCTACTATAAACACAATACCTTCAAGATCACGTGCAAAACATCCCGTGTTGGTTCAAGGTAATACTGTCCAAATTAGAGCCTGACCAACATGGGGGTTTAAGACCAAACTGATTTTGATATTTACGGATTTGATATATCGGCCGATATTCTTTATTTCCCTTCTCAGAAACACTCAACATAAACAAAGATTTTCCCTGACATTTGTCGTGTGTAGTTATGAGACCACATCAAGATAATGTGACATAATGCAGTTAAAAAAGAATTCAGAAAGTATTTTGAAAAAAAGTCCAGCTGATCTTGTCAGCTGATTGCAGTGTTTTCTGGTGGATTTGTGGCTCAAGAAGGTGTTAACAACAGGGGAGCTGCAGATAATAGATAAGATAATAAACACTGATTCAGATTTATCTGATATGAGCCTTTATCGATTTATCGGTCAGGCTCTAGTACAAATTATATGTTTAATGCTGTGACTTTTTACCTGGAAACAAAATAACCCTGAATCATGTTTCTGTTTAATTTCATAGTAATTTTCTGTCCTTGCACAATGTAATGTGATGTATATCTGTTTTAAAGAGTGCACGTCTGTTTTCAGTATTGTTACGTCACTAGTGACGTCAAAATGACGTGTGAAGCAAACACACTGGTTCACTCAGGTAGTGAAACACATGGCTGCTCTGACAGGCCACTCTGGCTTTGACAGGTTTGAATCTTGGAGGGCGGTATTCTCATAAAACTGAACGATGGAGAAACCGTTGGTTATAGTATTCTGTGAATTTTGATACTTAATGGAATACTTTTATACCTTCACTTGAGTAGAATTTTGACGACTTTTATGGTAAACATAATACTTCTATCTTTCTGAAGTGAAGGCAAAGTTAGCTGTATTTAAAGCCAATTGTTCATTCAACGTGCGGGTAGATGGTGAAGAGGCAGAGTTTCTGTTCTTTGAGTGAAAGCTTCAGGGTTCAATCTGAAATCTGCTAAACCTGTTGTAAAGAGGGTGAAAAGATAGACCAACGAGTCAAAGCTGGAGTTACAGGCCTGCTTTGACTGCACTGACCGGAGTGTTTTTGAGGCTGCAGCCACCGACCTGGACGAACTAACCGACACTGTGACATCTTACATCAGTTTTTGTGAGGACACGTGTGCAGAGTAAAACGTTCCGCACATACAACAACCAACGCCTTCAGAAGTGGAGACAGAGTCCTGTACAACCAGGCCAGGAACACTCTGACTAAGGAGTCAAGACAGCAAAGAGATGCTACGCTGAAAAGCTTGGAAAAAAGCTTCACAGCCAGCGACCCTGCGTCAGTGTGGAAAGGCCTGCGGACCAACTACAGGAGACTTCCCCCAACACTGCTGGTACTCAACAACTGGCTGATGAGCTGAAGGGATTTTACTGTAGGTTTGAAAATCCCACAGTCACACCTCTCCCCCACTCCAAAACCATCTTCATCATCCATGAAGTCCTTTGAAAGCCTGGTGTTGGCCCACCTGAAGGACATTACAGGCCCCCTGCTGGACCCCCTGCAGTTTACCTACATGGCTGACAGGTCTGTGGATGATGCAGTCAACTTGGGTCTGCATCACATCCTGCAACACCTCGACTCTCCGGGGACACATGGAAGGATCTGTTCGTGGACTTCAGCTCGGCGTTCAACACCATCATCACGGACATCCTCAGCACCAAACTCACCCAGCTCACTGTGCCAGCGGATCACAGACTTCCTGACTGACAGGAGTCAGCAAGTGAGGCTGGGAAACATCACATCCAGCACCCGGACTATTAGCACTGGCGCCCCCCAGGGGTGTGTGCTCTCAAACCAAAAAGGACAGGAGCAGACTACAACGGATAGTCAGGACTGCAGAAAAGATCATCGTGCCAACCTGCCCTCCATTCAGGAAACGGGCAGGAAACATCACTGCAGATCCATGATGAACAGCTGATTTCTGACTCACAGTGTCAGGAACAATTCTTGTGCAATAACCCAGTAACTCTGTCTCTAATCAGCCACCTGTTTACTGGTTACCACTTATTAATTATTCATCATTCTCTATTTCAGTGCTGTAAATACTGTTATAGTGTCATATTGTAGATACTGTATACAAATCCACCTACCTCAAGTCATAACTGCTGCACAAACTACTTGTGATGAACTACTGATTCTGATTCAAATTAAAATTCTGTATCATGCATTATTAAAAGTATGGGGTATGAATGTAAGTGGTTTCAGTAGTGTCCGCACAGGATGATGGCTAAGTGTGTAAGGGTGTTGGAACGAAACAAGGTAATACCACTAAAGCAAACATATCCAAAAACCAAACCAAAGGTGGAAGAATCAGTCAGCATCAGTCAGCAGGGAGGTCTGTCCCCTCAACCCAGCAAAAGCTTTCTAAGAATGAGAACAGGAAGTTAGAAGTACTGTACAGGGCAATGGGCCCCGGTGCCCAGAGTTACTGCAGTCAGTCTCAGCTCTTCACCTGCAAGACAGAGAGAGATTGGCCACACCCACATATAACCTCACAGGGCGTCATGAGGAGTCCACACACTGTAGCCCCCTTTAAGGGTAACTTCTGTGATATTACTGTATTTGTCAGTGGAGTCTGGAGACTTGGAGCAGAACGATATAGTGATTCTGGCTGAACAAAAAGTACTTTAAAAAGTATATCTCTGTAGGGATCCTTTCCATAATGTTGTCAGAAACTCTCTAGTTAATGTTCTTTGCACAGTTGCCCACAAGGGTTACGTTGGTTTCGCTGCTGCCGACTGCAGAGCTCTCACTCTACACTGGACCAATTTATAAAAATGTAATGGTCAGTTGTTGGTTAGAATCACTCACATTACAGTCTCCTGCAGCCTCCTTAGTGACTGACAGGTCAACCTCACTCTGACAGATCAGTGAAGATGTAACGAGTTTCACAAAGGCTGTTTTTATCACAGGGAGTTTGGATTAATTTTATCTTATCAGTTTTTCTGATTTTGTTTTTATTGTTTAGATCTCCAAACATTTCTGAACCCTGTTTGTTGCTTTGATTGTTTTTTTTACTTGTTTTATAATCATATCTCATTTGTATTTTCTCCTCTCTCCATAGACTGTATAACAAAGTGGACACCATGACTTCACCTGCTGGTTTGTGGACTTGCCTTTTTGAAGACTTGAATGTGGCATATTGGCCGTAATCATTTGGGGGGGGTTTAAACAGAAGGGACCAAATTTACGCTAATCAGGAAAGTGTTTACTCAGGTGATAAATCGAGTGGAAAGTCGGGTCGTTTTCATTTTGACTTCTCTGCAGTCAGACTTGTTTTAGAGGTTCCCTCTTGCCTCTCTCACACTGTTGAGTGAAAACTGAATTATCCACTGGACTGTGTTAAAGACATGATGGCACCTAAATGAAATAGAAGAAGTTACACACATATCTCAACAAAACAGAGCTTTAAAAAGGGCAGCTTGCAGCTTGTAAAATGAGAAATCAACATTTTCAGCAGTTTGACTTACAGCAGCTGGTCTGTTCCTGATCCTCCTTGAACCTCTGATCAGTACTGACCACTGCAGATCCTTTTGGAGATGCTATGACCCAGTCTTCTAGTCATCACAGTTTGCTCATCTCAAAGTCGCTCAAACCCTCACGCTTACCTATTTATCCTGCTTCTAACACATGAACTTCATGATGTCTCATAGCTCTATAAACACCAGACATATGATAAACACATTTAGGGTCCCTGTCCTACACCTGATGCAGAGCACCACGAAGCACCGACGCAATAATTTTCCCGTCCAGCACTGGCGCCCAGGGGTTTACAGCAGTGGTCGGCAATGGGCGGGTCAGAACTGCACTTTTAAAATAAGATTACAATGTGAAAGATTAATATTATAAATCTATATACTTTATAGTATGCTTTATTATGGTTAGGCCTACTTGTAGGGGTGTGACGAGATTCGAGATTGGGTTCTCGAGATGAGATTTTAACACTATTTTAATTTTATCTTTAATGCTGAATTACATGAAAAGTTTAAGCAGAAAGGCAAGGCAAGTTTATTTATATAGCACATTTCAACAACAAGGTAATTCAAAGTGCTTTACATAAAACATAAAAGCAACAGGGAAATATAAAAAAAGTTTAAAAGCATCATAGGGAAATTGAAAAAAATACACATTAAAACAAGTAAACACTTTATTTCCTGCATTCTTGAATGTTAAGTTTTCTGAATACTTACAAAGATCAATGGCATAGAACCGTTGCAGCCAGCACAATAAAGAGATTTACAATAAATGACCAGCAGGTGTCGCACTGCACCTCCGTCAGCTGTGATCACCTGGAGCCACTGTGTTAATTCTACAACAGCAACATTCATCCTACCTCAAATGGTCTAGTTAGGCTTGGTTTTATACTCGAGACTGCCTACATTTGTACAGATTCCTGAGTAAGAGAGAGGGGGTTTGGACCTTTGTAGCCATAGATTAGAGTCTGTAGCTTCTGTCGATCTGTCCAAAATAGCCTAGACGGCAGATCCAAGCCAATAAGACCAAATAACCATATCATATTTTAATAGCTTACTATTGTACAGGTTTCATCAAATTTGCAAATAAAACAACTGCTGTATGGAAACGCAATGAACATTAAAAGCAAATTAAAATAATAGAATGTGATTAAATATGACCTCCTCCGCTGTGTCAAAACAGCAGCCAGCTGTAGTTAGCTTATTAACATACATGTGTACTCTCCTGTGAACACATTGTCACTTATACATTTGTATTTCACAGCGTGAGAAAATTCATGTGTGACTTGATACATGTGAAAAATCAATGTCAATTGCGTGAGTCTCGCAATTTTTACCTGACGAGAAATCTCGTCACGTTTTAATCTCGTCACACCCCTAGTTACTTTATTATAATGATCAGATTTACAGAATTGCAGTAATGGCGACTGAAAGTGGTGAATTATTTGACCAATCTTGGCCAAACATAGGAATTTAAAAAGACAAGCCAAGAGACGAAGTACAACCTTTTTGAATGATGCACCTGAGCCTTTATTATAGTAAAGACTTATTTTAACACAAACCACAACTTTTTAATTATTCCTCCACTACACCATTTCATCCACTGTCATTCATCACAACGACAAATTCATGTTAGTTTAATCTTTTGGTGGAACGAACAGAACGAGAATATTCATGTCGGACTTGATGTCGAGTAAAAATGAACCAAATTGTGCCTTTTGTTTCGTCCCAGGTGTGAAAAAGACTTTAGGCAGCTAGACAGGGTCAGGACTGAACTGCTGTGAATGTTTAATTGTTTGATTGTTTAAATATTTTAATATGTATGTAAAGATAAATGTAATGTTACTTTTGTTTTGTTATTTTATTCATCACTTTATATTTATCACGGTGTCAAGAAGGAGCTGCCAGTTAGTATTTATGCTGTTTCTGCACTGAGAACAAGACGTATGTATCATCATTTATTAAGAGTCCAGTATTCCTCTCTGGATATTATGTACAGCATTATGTGTTTTTTACAAATATATTTTCATGTCTACAAAAAGGCTTTACAATCATTAACCCCTATTTTTATTTTGAGGGAAATAATTGACTGACCCAACACCTGTTTTTGGATTCTCAAAGTCTTTGAAGACAAAATGAATGTAAGCTCTTTAAAAATCTGTTTCTAATAAAATGCAGTCAATCTATAAAAACAAGTATTTCAAACTCATTTCATGTTTATACTTTGAGTTATAGAGTTAAAAACAGTCACATCAGGGATTTCCAAAATTCCAGGTGAACAACTTTTTCAGTTAAAGCTTCAGGCTTTAAGCTCTCGGACACTTTTAGACAAAGTTTATTTGCTGCTGGACATTTCTTCACAGACTCTCCCTCATTGATCTTCAAGTTAAAGTTTATAAATAAATCTCAAAATTTGTCCTGAAATTAAAACTGCTTAAAACCAATTTTCTGACCTGAGTTTCACACAGAGTATTCAGTCTGTGTCGGGGGTCCTGAATAAGCCCAGACAGGTTTTTGTCCTGACTGTGGGTGATGATCACTTTCTGCTCTCATTGTGTTAATATGTTCAGACAGCAGGAAGATATGCAGTTATTCAGGAGGAATGATTTGGACAACCGTTGAACCCTGTGGTCACAGGTGGAAGAAGTACTATCAACAAAATACTATACTATAAAGTATGAGTCTTTCTGCAGTAAAAAGTCTCCTGTGTGATTTTATTAGTTACTGATTTATCAGCGTTAGAAACATCTGCAACAGCTGCTCAAGGTTTTAATATAAAGTTATTTAAGGCCAGTGGTTCCCAACCTGGGGGTCAGCCCCTTCAGAGGGTCACCGAAATAAATGAGGGATCTTAAGATGATTAATGGGACAGGAAGAAAGAAACAAACCGATACACAAATAATTTGAGGCAGAAAGAGGTCAAATTATCCAACATTTCTCAAAAAACACACATTTATTTAAATGAAATAAAAACTATAAATATTTAAGGGGAAAACCAGAGCAGTGGTGGAACTAATACTTTATTTTAGTGTTATGTATTGAAATCCTTTCTTTAATTTCCTTCCATATTAAGGGGTTATGCTGCATTCAGGCTCTGTCTGCAGAATGGGAAGAACAGGCCAAACACCCTTATTCAGACTTTGTGTTCATGCATTTTAAAAAGTTCCCTCACGTCACCTGTTACAGTCATGGAAGGTTTCAACTTACAGGGTATTATCCCTCTTATATGGCAACTTAAAAATATGCTTTATCTAATCTACAAAAACTTTTTACAAATACACACTGAGTTTATCTCCTTCCAGCCAATCAGAACGGAGAATTCTCAGTGGTCATGGCATCAGAACTATATTTAATCTGTCAGCTGGAGTATACTGAACTAGTGAGCATATAAAATAAAAGGCATTGTTATAAAGTACATCAAAGCATCCAACAGGTAATAAAATCAGCTACAACATTTTAAATACTGCTTTAATGTGTCAGCACAAATAATCCAATAATACCTGAAAGACCATTTTGTCTGCATTATTTTTAATAAATTCTGCTGATAATGTTTTTCTACTATATAGGTTGCAGGACCTTTACACTTTAACACAGTATTTTTACAGTTATTGCTTCATTTACTTCAGCCTGAATGGGTTTGACATGATACAGCAGACTTGCCAAATGTTGAACTCGTAATGCATAAATGGTTCTGATTATTAACAAGTTAGTAATTAGCATTAACAAATTAAAGACCAATGAATATCATTTTTCTTGCACTAGAATTGAATTAATGAAAACAACCTACAAAAATTAAAGTGATGCAATTAGAATTAATATTATACTAGTGGTAAACTTTATAGTATACTATTATTTGAAATTATGATCAATATAGTAACACACTAAAATTATATAATCAATATAATTATCAATCAAATAATCAAAATAATATCACATTTTTTTATGATTTGATGAGGGAACTGCATGGACTGTACATATTCATAAAGTACTAGACAAAGGTAGGAAAGTGCTAAATGTTTTGAGGTGTGTAGTTGGAAACGAATGGGGGGGCAGACAGAACAGCTTTGAATGCAAATACTGTGATTAATTACAGTTGTGTGGTGTATGGATCTGTATGTCCCTTTAAAAGTTAGACAACATTTAATATCAGCCTTTGAGATCATGTTGAGGAATATTTAAAATGGGTCCACAGCAGCACCTCCTGGTGGAAACAGGAGAAATGACATGAGAAGAATAATCACTGAATTATTTACAGGCCGTAGTGAAGATCAGCCAACACAACACACTTTGATGGGAAAAGAAGAGGAGGTGGACAGTGACACAAAAAGCAACAGAACTTAAATGTAACCATTGCCAGTAATACCACATTGCTTACTTCCTGAAGCCACAGTAGATTTTACATTATTAGTAAAGAAGAACAATATTTTGAATTCACAGAACCCTACAGGAATATATTAAGCTACCGCTGTGACGTCCAGACCTACTCAGATGCACCAAAGAGTTTAGTTAATAAAAAAAAAGAGCAGCTTTTATTGTTCCAGATTAGTGATGAAGTATCAGTGTGCACAGGAGAAATGTTTGCAGTTTCGTTAGCAGTGAGGTAGATAGAGGAAATTAGGCCACTGGGGCGATCATTTGTTCGGACTCAGATTCATCACAAGCCATTTACAGAGCAGTGGCCAGACGGTTTTGACA